TACAATTTGTAAGCAAATTCCAGATGAGATAAAGAGGAAATCACATTTAGATTACATTATTTGTTAATAATGTTTTGAAGGCTTAAGTGATTGAATTTACATAAAATTTGTCTGTGAAAATACCATAGAAGTGTTATCATGTAATTATTGTGTTACACAAGGTCACTTGCCAAATGTCACATAAATGGTGACATCCCTATGGGTGACAGTAACTTTGACTGAGGTTCATAGAACTTGATGTCCTTTCATCTGTCAAAATAGAGCATTCACATGGTTGATTGAACTCGGGTAATTTTAGACATCAATTTGAATATTATAAAAACATTTGGAGTATTTTTTTTTTTGTGACTGTGGTTCTAACAAAAAAAAAAGCCTCTCCTAAATCATCCTGACCTTTAAAGTTGTCTCTCATTCATCATAGATGGAAACAGATCTACTGTATGCCCACAATCATGGATGAGAGAATAGATAGGTACCGTACATAATTTTAATTTTTCAAAAAATGTAGGAGGGCCCAGGCACTCCATAGACAAAGTAAAAGTGACAACAAGTTGTGGATAAGTGTTTCTTGATGTACTTCAGAAGTTGGGGTCTGGGGTTCGATCCAAGCAAATGTCAGGGTTTTTTCACAACTGAAAAACACAGCTACATTCTTTCTAACCCCGAGCCATGAGAGCATGATGTTCATATGAATTAGTTTAATTAGCAAGTCAGATTGTGATCGAATGCAAAATTAATAAGAAAATGCAAAATGGATGGCAGTTAATTTTCAAATGAAATCATAATTCAATAAATTAGAATTACTAGGCAAATTATTGTTAGATATTGTAGTAAATTAAAATAATAGAAAAATGTGAAATTTTGTATTGTGCTCTGAAAAGGATGCAAATTTGATGTCTGTCTATTACATCTTTTCTATTTTTATAACATGCTTTTTATTCTTCTTTATAGCTTATTAGTAGGCCCTACATAGTTCCGGATTCTCATATTTTATTAGCAGATTTTTTAGGGTGATAACATTATTGATCTTTAGATTGGTCGTTGTCAATATATGACCGGTATTTGTAAAGAAGAGCTCCATGTATTATAGAATGCCCATAGAAATGATGCAACGGTCATAAAAAATGTTGAAGTATATACTTTGAAATATCAAATATATTCTTTACTGTGTACCTCCAATAGTTTCAGTTGTTATTTTGAAAGTGTATATGTTTTGGAAAGTCAAGTACAGTATCTTGTTTTATGAGTTTAAGGTATGAATAGAGAAAGGAAGAAGAATTATACTGTAACTGTATCTGTAGTCTTTCAAATTTAAAATTAGGTTTTCACAGTATTCTTATAATGTGGGTAGAAAAGGAATACATTTCACTGTATTTGTAATTTTCTTCTCTGTTTTGTATTTTTCCGGTATGTAATTAGCTTTTCCCTTCTGACTTTTATTTTTTGATTTCTTACTTTACTTTTGTATTTTAAAATTGTAAAGTTCCATGTTTATGCCATTTATGTCGAACCACCAGCTTGAGACCTCTATACCCAATGTCTTGAATATTGTGCCCTACTTTCTTCTTAATTCAAACATGGATTCACAAAAATGAAATTTCTTGATCTTTCAACTACCTTCAGACTGTTCCAATCACCTCCCGTTGTCAGGGTTTAAATTGCATTACATTGCTTTCAAAAATGAAAATTTGCTCGGATTAAGCTTAAAGTGAATAGAGAAAGGAGCTTGTTTGTGTAGTTGTGAAAATGGTTATAGTTTCTGATTACCTGAAACAAGTACAGTATAAATATGGTTTTAATTCCAAGGTGATAAGATGATTATTATTTCCTTCAACAAATGAATGATAACATCAATTTGATAGATAAACAGATGAACTTGTTGCATCATTTACCACTTCATTACCCACTGATTACAGATTGCGTTCTCCCGTAATCGACTCATTCACGAAATTACACCGCAAATTCTCAACCGCATAGTTTAGCCTGCAACATTTCATAGTTGTCAAACAGAGGAAGCAAAATAACATCAACAAAAGCTAACACAAACCAACCATACTCCGACCACTCACCCAATGAAAACAGCCTAGAGGCGTAGGCAGTAGAGCTTTGGTATAGTTTGCTGTTTAATGACGACGATTGTGGTATGTGCACCACTAATAGATTCAGCCGACAGCTCGTCTCCATGAAGTGCAATAAACTTCTTGAATTTCCGATTCTCCCGTGGTACTGTGAATTTGGGATGCTTGTTGATGACTGTTGTACGTGTTCAATTCTTGTACAGGGTAATCTTGATAGCGTTGTAGTGATGTTTTAGCTAATATGCGTTTAACTGATATGATTGTATCAGTATTATGGAACGGTTTCATACGTATTTCTTGATTGGCTTGCTGGTTAGCTAATAATGCTCATCAATTATCACGAGTGTCACCTGACAACTATTGGAATTACTTTGATAAAATGTTCCATTTTCATAATTCTTCTTAATTCTAATTAATTTTATTGTTTATTACCATTTCACAATCAGTATACTCTATTGCATTTTATTGAGTGGTTGTCCTGTGAAGGAGATCTCTTTTGCTCATTCATTCATTTTTTCTATAATTTATTTTGTGTATTCATTTATTTCAGTCATTTATTAATTTATAATCATTCTTTCCTTCATTTTTTTATTCATTCTATTTTTTTAATCATTGTTTTTTTTTTGTTTTTTTTTTGTTTTGGTTTAATACTTGGAGGCTTGTTCGATGGTAAATATTGCTCTCCTACGTAACTGTGTAGCCTACAAACAAACATCAGAATATAAATTCTAATAATAATATTCTCTGTTTTTTCTATCTTTACAATTTGATAGTAATTAATATATTACTATCAAAAAATCAAAATAAAGTTATAAGGTTTATATTAAAACATTCATTGTTCACATTTAAACAGGAAATTTGTTAGGATTTAATATTTCTTTATTTTTTTTCCCGATAGCCACCTTTACTGTAGTTTCACAGTCATGTGTATTTTCAATCTCAGCATACCCTCTATTAGGTTTGTGATGTCATGCTGGTTCCAAAAACGTGTTCCAAAGCAGGTATCTTGCCAATAATACTATGACCTTGCAACATCCTGCTACCAAATACCTAAGAGTTAAGCCTCAATTCCTTCTCCAAAATATCACTTTCTCAATACCTTATCTGGCTTATAGATTTCATCTAGAAGCAGGCTGGTTCTACATACTGGCTAAGTTTATAAAATATATAAAGATTCTTTGAATGTTTAGATGTATTTCTATTAATTAAATAATAATAAGTGTAATAATGATACATCTAACAGTTTTTCGTCAGTAAGTGATTAAAGAAAAGCTAGATGGTCATTTAATTCAATAAGTGTGGGTATATTTAAATGTCAATATTGTTAGTAAATATAAATAGTAAAAATACAATATGCGCCATTAGTTTTTGCAAATCCTTTAATTGTTACCTATCTGATGAATTATAGTTTTTGAACATCAACATCGTCATAGAATTTTGGTTGGTTTATCCAAAGCCTAGAAATTTTGTTGGATAGAGACCAAACTCAACAGAATAAAGTTGAATATATAGGTCAGAACAAGTACACCTTCTATAATTATTGTTGAATTGTACGATCTTGAATTTTAACATTACATACACCTAGCTAATTATCAGCTTTTTTTTTTAATATCAAGTTCAGTTCCACTATAATCATGAATATTAAAAGTTGCAGAATTTCCTTAAAATTTAACAAAGAAGAGGAAACAAACATAACCTGATGCATATGATTATCTGAATTTTAGCATCATGATGACAAAGGTATTTATAGATGAAATCTGCATTATCATCTTATTAATTTACAGTTGGTATTGTTGGAAAGCAGGTGCCATTAGCAGGGTCATTATATTGTCTGCTTTCGTAGGTTATTTGGGTCAGGAAAATGATTCTTTACTATGATTCATTTTTTTCTCAGATACTCTATTTATGCAGACTTAGTTCCACCTTACTGTTCTCTAGGAACTTCTAAATCTATTAGGTGCCCTTTAAATTAAAGTGAACTCTTCTCAATTTAACTTGATGGCATTAACATGGGTTTTACATAAGAGACTCTGCACCTTCGGACCTCAATTTTCAACAAATTTCTGGTCAAACGTTGGTTCACATACTGATTTCAAATGTTTCAAGTTGGTCATGGGGAACTAGAGTAGACTAAAGCTAAACTAAACTAAAGTTTTCAAAAGAATAGAAAGATGATAAAATTAATGTTTGAGAGACAATAGATTTTGGGAATACTCATCCATTTAAAAAAAAAAAAAACAATGGTTTTCAGTGTCTCCAGAATAGGATTTACATCAAATGCTAAATATGCTTTCAGACCTCAGCTCCAACCATGGTAGGCCTGGGGTTTCGTACCTTTCTCAAAATGTTTGATTTTCCAGGACTCATGAGACAACAGAAGCATTGCTTCTTCTAAACATTATACAGTTTATTTGTTTGCAACCCACATGTTGTCAGCTAGAATATAGGTATAAGCTCATAGCCACCTCAATGTATATTGTGTGCTCGAATTGCAGGATAATTTATTATTGTTGACTGTTTACTGTTTAAAACAAGGAATGTACAGTATTCATACAGTACTTTAATATATAGGAATACACATATACCTGATTATAGTATGTGATAATGGTGCTATTGAATTTGCATGGTGATGGAGTCATTGCAGGTTTCAAGATGACTGAAAAGTCAGACAAAATTTTAGGTTGATTTATGGTTGGCTTTGAATTAGGCCAAGTAACAAAAAAAACGGGGTATTTCAAAAAGTTGGTGAGGGAGGCACTTGTTATTTGTTATTTGTTATTTTTGTACGCGTGTCAACAAATACTTAAATACGCGTCCTGTCTTGATAGTAGTGCATACAGTCACACACATAAAGAGTCGTACAGTAAAGCATCCAGAGGACATGACAACAAATATAAAAACACAAGGTACAGTATGAAATTAATTAATTTTTTTTATTGAAAAAAAAATCAATAAAAAAATATCAAAAATACCCTATATATTGTATAGTAACTGTTAATCTGATTTGCTTGTGTTTTCTGTTTTCAGGCATTTTTGGTTTTAGGCAAGATATCACATCACAAGACAAGTATATTATTTAAGTTAATCATTGGATCATAAGATACAATCAGTACCTACAGATTTAGAAAGATTAATGCCAGTATTTAGCCAATAATTGTTTACATTATAATTAATAATAATCTGCTATTTTCATTGTACACTTATTTGTTCGATAAAAAAATAATGTATTCTTGATTCTCGTCATTCCTATATTGCAAACATTCACGTCATATTAATAAAAAAACACTATCCATATTTGGTATTCCTATTCTTGTCGCTGTTTTTAAGGTTTCAGTATCTAGGATAGCTATCCTGTGCCTCCTTCGAGGTACCAACACTCACTTCAATCTGCAAAAAATTAAAAAAATAAAAAATTTGTGACAATTTTGCATTTCATTTCATTTATTTTGAAAGGTAGAAAGTAAAGTCAAATCCCCAGTGGCACCAAGAGTCCGGGCCATAAGGGGAAAGCGCCTGGGTCAGACGGGTCTGTGACGCTAGTTAGCGCTAGGCAAAGAAATAAAAGTCCATGAATCAGAAGGCTGTCCTTCAAGTTCAAATAAAGTGTGCAATGCAAGGCTACTTAGGCGAAATATAATATTCCTGCCTTGATTGATACATGAATGGTCATACGATCGGACTATCCACTCGGAAAATGGGCATATGGCTCATAATGGTGAGCAGGAGTTGACTTAAGGATTTTTCGACGTAGGCCTACGAGCCTATGCCCTATGCCTATGTAGCCTAACCTAGGCCTAACTCATCGCGTCTATATTGACTGAACAAAAAGATCGGCCTGTACGATGTTTTAATATAAATAAATATGTTCATAATAGTCGGTTTGTACCAAATCTGCCTTTCGGAGAATTCTGAAGAACGTTTTACGTTTACTACCTATTCCAAATATAGTCAGGTTTCCTATAATAATTAATATAGGCCTAGGCGGCCTAGGCCTAGTAGTAGTAGGCCTAGCCTAAGTACTACTTAGTTACTACTACTAGGCCAGAAGTGACTCACCGTTTCATTGTCGTACAAAACTGCTCCTCTGCTGAGTTTATAGCACCATAGAATCGTTCATTAAACAATGGTCATCGCTTTCTTCAAATGTTTTGGCCCACAAACATCGGAGAACTGCATTAGAGTCGGTTCGACTTAATTGTCAACATTTTCACATGTTTAGAAATCGTTTGTTTTGCTGTCACGCTGTCTCTAAATAGCCTCGTTTTCAGTCGCGGTTACGATTGCTTCCGTGCGGAATTGCGTTTGTAAACTTCGAAACGCGTCAAAATCGACCTATAGTAACCACACAATTTTCGTGCTTGAGCGGTTTTTTGCGTTGCTTGAGTCTAGAAAATGCGTCATATATCGTCATTTCGCGTTTTCAGACTAACAAAAAACACCAAAAAAACGAAATTTCGAAAAATAACAAATAACAAAAAAATTGATGCGGGCCCAAAAATCGATGCGCGCGGGGACGGGAAACAAGTAATTTTTGTTACTTGGCCTTCACATGTAGGTAAGTACTGCATTCACATCGAATCTGAACCAAAATTCCATAACCACGTTTCCAATGTGCTGAAATACCAGCTTTCATAGTCTTACATACTGATCTGATCTTCTGATTGTTTCGGTAGGCCTTCCAATTCGAAAATTCAGCTTCAGATTGAATGCATCTATATAGTGTGAATGTTGTCTTAAATTTATGTTGAAAGAAACCTATAAAGTAAAAAGTAATCTACTGTTTACCTTGTGTCCCTGCTGTTTAAAGTTAAAGCACAAGTTGATAGATGTCCATTTAGTAGAGGTCATTCACCTAGCTGCGACCCTTGTATTAGCTTTTATATTGCCAAGAGCAATTATACATAATTAATTGGATAGTTGATGATTCAGTTAGTCAGCCCTACAAATATGTGCCAAAATCCAGGTTAGTGGATTGTACCTTCAAGCTATAGGTACGGTACTGGAACTGTTACTAGTACAAAACAGCAGCTTTCTTGAAGTTTAGTTGTCATATTATCAATATAGTTTTTGTTTGTGTTCTTATTCTTTCATTACTAAACACAATGTAACAATTACTATGCTGATAGGCAAGGAATCAAAATTTACTGAATTATTCATAGTAAACTGGGTTGAATAGAGAGGTTAAGTAATTCGATTTTAAGGTCAATCAAAATTGAACTAAATCTTAACTAGAGTGTCTCCTTCATCAACCCCGTTTACAAAATTATATAAATAATATCTAAAATTTTTTTAACAGCATAATAAATAGTAGGTTTAATAGTTCAGTAAATTAGCAACATTAAGAGTTCCAGAATCGAAAATCGACACCAGAAAATTATTTGAAAAACATTGTTTGGTAAAAATTTGAGTTAACTAACAAATAAATTGAAAGGCAGTTTAATAATGAAGACTGATCAGTGTTTTCACACTACAGTATCAACAAAGTCTTATCACACTTTAAAATCATTGTTATTGTTGTTGCTACAGTATTATCTATTTTTACCTTGGAAAAATTTACTATTAACCTTGCCGTATTTGGGCATTAGAATGTTTAGAAATTGGCAGGTATTTGTAAGCAATAAGTTATTATATCATATAGTATTCAGCATGATTTTTATGTACACTGTTGATTGTTGAAGCTTAATTTGTGTTGTGTAACTGTTATTCCTTCCTATGATAAGGGGCTGTTCGCAATTTAAAACATTCTTGCAAGTGTACAAACAGTACTCTTTTTCGGTACCCCTTCCCCTCTGAGAATTAAGTGTGCATAAAATATGTAGATTTTTGCAAAACCATTCTCCATTGTTTTGTTCATTCATTTTTGTTTTACTTAAAAATGTATATATTATATCCATGGTTTTATTATAATTGGTCATAAATATCTATTATTTTAATATTTCATGTTATTTTGAATCAATATTTTAATGCATACTGTATGTAAAAATTTACAGATTTGTATACCACCTCCCCTAGTGTACTGTTGTACAATGCTTGTGAAAATGTTGATGATTGTGAACAACTCCTAAGAGACGTCCTTCTATGGCACCCAAAAATGTGCATTCGTTTATTACCATAGTCAATAAAGCGTGTGGAAATTAGGAATATGGTATTAGACAGTGTAGGCCTAAACGTAATACAATATTTCAAACTCAAGCGGTGGCTTTATTTATTGCGTGATTATCTCAGCATGGATATTTTGGACTTACTGAGCTGGTAATAGGCTTATTATAAATTCACTAATAATCCACTATTTAGTAACAATCATACACAGTGTTTAACATCCTTCACTCCCAGTGGAGTATCTTGCATCATACATTTACACTCCTACTGTGTACAATTTTTTTTTTTTTTTTCATGTTTTTCAACTGCTGTGGTACCTTTTCTAGACTACCATATGAATATTCAGCACCATCCAAATGCATTCATAAAATATTTGCATGTTATATGCTACTGTTCCAGATACTAGTTTATACACCTGGGTAGAGACAAAATGTAGATAAAGTGCCTTCCTTGCTCAGAGCATAATTCCTCCATGTTCAAAGGCAGTGAATTCCTCTCTCCCCATGAGATTTTTCCATAATTTACCTAGACCAAAGGTTGGATGCTCTTCATTCATGTAGTTGAGTCATCATCATCACTTTATTGCGCCTATTGCCATATTGGCAGGTTCACGGCAAACATTCCCGCCTCTTTTCACAGCCTTTAGAGATCATCCGTATCTGACAAATACAGCATGAATACATTTTTAAAGATATTGATGTATGTGTTCCTTGAGGCAGTAAACCAACTTATAACTGGGTCAAAATTTAAAGAGTTTGCTCTGAACTCTGTATGGTTGCAATTATGTAGATTCATCATTCCAACTTAATAGATTAGTAATTGTTTCCACTTGTTTCTTAGTATTTTTTGTCCTTGTTATCCATGTAGTATTTTGCCTTGCATCTTTAAATTTTAATAATAATAATAATAATAATAATAATAATAATAATAATAATCCAATCCATTCATGTAATATCCACTCAGAATTAGAAATTGGTTTAGAACGGGTGTAACAATAGCCGCCCCTATAATTTTAATTCACTCTCTACCAAAACTTATTTGGTTTACAGTACTAATGATTAGTTCCCCTACCCTCCTTAGTCCTTCCCCCTCCCCCTAAATAATTATTCTCCATCAGCCTTTATTTGACAAGTTTTGACTACCTGAACAAGTCTTTTCTATATTATTTTAGGTCGTAGGTCACTCTTTCACCTGTTATCCCTTTGCTCTTTCCTGTCTGTTGGTTTCTCTCAGTTGCTTATTCTCCTCCATCTGTTTTCTCCTTAAATCTCTAATAACAATATCCTCTCCCTCTCCACTTCTATCTTGACACTTCAGTGTCATATCTGTAAAACATTGTGCATCATATCCTGACAGACGTTGCAAAATGCGTCTTCTATGACGTTAATCTGTGCAACATTCAAAATAACTTAACTCTACCATGTTAAGAATTCAAGGTTCTGATCTATGTATTCTGATCCAAATATAATAAATTAAATAAAATTTTTTCTGAAGAAACTGATTATGAGGGAAGAAAAGCAAATAGCATTTCCGTATCCTTGGCTTGCAAGCCAAATACTTGAATCATGAAAACAAAATGTAAATCTCCAAATATACCTTCTTTAGGCCGTATAAAAAATATTATTAGTTTATCACCCTATCTGGGCAGGAAAAGTGATGAGGGAGGGAGTTTTTTTTTTTTATTTTTATTTTGCTAAAGCCAAATATCACCCTTGTGTTGTTTGCTGGTGCATTGATATTCAAAGTAAAACATCATTTAGATAAAGCAAACAATATCTACTGTTAATAAAATAAATGAAAAAAAAAAATAAATAAATTTTAAAAAAATTAAAAATTTTCAGTACTAATAAAAGACATGCGTGCGAGGGTGATAAACTAATAATATTTTTTATTGGGCCTTATTGATTCATAGTTTTAAGTTCTACAGTACCTTGATTCTACACTACAGTTATAACGTGATGACAATATTAATAATTTATAGTGATTTCTTGATTGCAGAGTTCATGACTACAATGTATGAATTCCTTGGTTATTTTTCTTCAAGGCTGTTATATTTTGATAGATTTGTTTCCTATCAACCATCCCAATCCTGACTGTAATCGACTTAACAACACTAACAATGTGATATTGATATCTCCTTAATGAACCACCTTTTTAAAAGTAGTTTTATTGTTTAACAAACAATTTTTTTTTTTAATTATCATTCCAGGATTTACAAGCTGAGATCGAGGCGCATCACAATGTCTTCTCGTCCTTGCAAGATACAGGTTCCCGACTCTTGCAGAGCGAGGACATCAGTACCGATGCAGAAATACTCCAGCAACGGCTTGATAACATGAACTGTCGCTGGTCCAGCTTGCAACACAAATCAGCTGAGATAAGGTACGCTTCCTTATGGAATTGCCACATTGTTCATGTAATAGTGTTTCCATCCGAAATGCTTGTAGTACTGAAGTCTTCAAAAAACTCTTAAAAGCTCACTTATTTCCTAAATAATCCTCTTCCTACAATAAACCTTTTCTAAGCGCCTTGTATCCTTTGGCAAAAGGCGCTATATAAATTTCTATATTATTTCTATATTATTATAGTATACCATGTGTTGACCAAAATTTATTAAATACAATTTAAGGATTAAATGAGCATGGCTCTATTGGTCTGTACATGGGGAACAATCCCTTGCTCCTAATTCTGAAACTTTCCTTTAAGGACACATGACTAAATAGAAAGGTTGTATATATTCTCTTTATAAAGATATATCGGGTTGTCTAGCTGTAACAAAAGATGTCATTGGACCAGTGATCTAGATTGTGTAATACCCTATTCAGACTAGCATCGCATTGCTATTAGTTGCAGCAATTGTGACACCCAATTGCACCATTTGCAATTCAAAATCATGTGTCACAAGCTCACCAATAGTAATCAATTTCGTAATTGTTCCCTTTTGATTGGGTGCTACAATCTTTATTCCTCCTGATTACCTCAGAGTCCGATCGCAACTAATCACAACAAATTGGCTGAGGTCAGTCCACGTAGGCCTAGCCACCGGGGGCCTAATACCGCTTGATCTCCCGTTCCAGTATAAGGTGTGATTTGGCCTGAATGCGCTACTGATTGCAATCGGGATTATTAAAATCAGTTTTGGATTACCCCCGATTACATCGCAGCCAATCGCAACAGAGTGTAGTCTGAATAACGTATACTCTCAGTGTCGACCACAATTGTACAGTATCTATATTGAGCCACTACTTCATGTTTAAACCCGTTTCTATGAACATTTCTTTGAAAACATCTCAAGCACAAATAAATACCAATTAAGGTGTCAAGATTTTGTACTTAGATCCATCAATCATGATTGTTATATAGCGTCAATTAAATCATTCAAAATTTTGGAAGCCACTAGAAGGTCTTTAGTTTCCTATTGAAAATGTCAACTGATTTTGACATCTTTTATGAAAGAGCATTCCACAGAAAAGAAAGGAAACTATGAACCACATATTGCTAGCTTGAAATACTCATGAATAGTAAAGTATGAAATTGGGTCAGCTAGACAAAGATTGTAGATATAATGTCGCCCACTCGGAGGAAATTATTGAAAAAAATTAAATTGTGTTTTTTTTTTTTTTTTGTCAGAAAACGCCTTGAAAACAATGCAGCTGAATGGAACATGCTTTTAATGGACATTCAAGAAATGCTTGACTGGATATCAAAGAAAGACACAGAGTTATCGCAGAAACAGCCAATAGGAGGCGACTACAACACAGTCCAACAGCAGAAAGATGATCATAAGGTATGAGATAAATACATGGTGTAAAGTAAAAATAAATTGTTAAGCTGAGTAGGGATCCCAGTTATCAACTGTGTTCATCCTAGTTTGTGATGTAAATAACAAATGCATGTTTTATTGTATTATTTGTAATTGATTTTCAGGTGCTAAGGACCCAAATTCAAGATAAGAAACCAGCAGTGGAAAAATGTTTACAGAAAGGCCGACTATATGTTGCAGATCACGAAAACGCATCCATTGAAAAAGGTGAGATGAAAAGCTTTTAGTAGCCTCCCCCATTCCCCACAGATGCAATTATTAAATATGTTAATTACGTGTCAAAATATATTATTTTTTTCCTTCATTTATGAAAATATAATTGACTAGTTTCAAACAGAATAGAAATGTATATAACTGGAAGTTTTATTAATAATGTAATTATTATATACAATTTTCTACATCAATTTTACATCGTATCTGCTACATTGTCACTACTTTACTCTACATTTATGTAATGCATGGTAAATTGTTAGTAATAATGATGAAGTCAGCTACCTAATAGAATTATGGTATATCAATCACCTCATATGGGCTTTCCATTACAACAGCTCCATGCTGTAGACTATATTACAATACAACACTGTTAGTAGTGTTAGTCAAATGCATTACTTGGTTACCGTAGCATGGAATCCATTATAACACAGGCCGGCCTATCATTGAAATCTATTAGCATGATATTCTGTTGCTAGAGTTTCATCCTAGAACTGGGAATGTTTTATTATCTGTTGAATTTATTCTCTTGCAGCGGAGAACGATGAAATCGGGACACCAGAAGAGCAAGCCCAACAAATAAACAGTAACTTAAAAGACAAAGTAGAATGTTTGCAAGAGAACTGGAATCAATTGCTGAACCGATCAGATAACTGGCAAAAACAAATCGATGAGATTTTAATGGTAAGGATTTTGATTAGGAGTGGTAGTCTGATGATGGTTAGGGTGCCTGTCATCCAGTCACGGGTTCCTGCCTTCAATTCCTGTAAAAGAATTTTCTCGGTACTAAAAAAACTTCACTCCCTAAGCCTCATCATGTAAATTTAGTTTACTGTATGTATAGCGTCTTGTGGGTATGTTTGTCTTGTGAAAAAAATTGCCTCTTAAAAAATCTAGGTTAGTTTTGGCATATTTTTTCCAATTGCCTAAATATTCAATAAATTTAGAGTGTGCACCTTTTTCAAGTAATTCCTGTATTTGAAGAACTGTTTTCTAATACATATTTGTAAATTATTGCAAAGTCAGTATCAACCAAAAGGTTATTTTTGTCTCACTTCAGATATTACGCCCTACATGCTTATATAATTGTGCATCGCATACCCATTTATTACGGTAAATTACCATAATTTTATCTAATTATCAATAATGTCTTTGTTGTTATTTATAGAAAATGCTTGGCTTCCATCAAGCAATGGATGACCTAAGTGCCCGACTCCATGAAGCTGAATTAGCCAAATCACGTTGGCCTGCTGTTAGAGAATTGAGGGCAGAAAATATTAGCCATCACTTAGATGAAGCCAAAGTAAGTATTAAAGTAAGTGATCCACAAAAAAAAAACAAAGAATATCCATGGCCATAATAACTAGGCCACCACAAGTGTTGGGAGACATTACAAACTTGCCTGGGGTCTAATTATAATTATCCTCACAAAAGACAAGTTAGGATCTAATGCTATTGTTTATTTTAGATGGGCTTTTTGCATATTATCATTGTTAATTTATATGTTATAATTGTTTATTGTTATCTCTGGTATAGCCTTTGAAGTCATGTGGTTTTTCCATTTTATAATTGAAAATTATATCTATTAAAAAAAAATTAATTATTCAATCAATTAAGCAAGTAATCAGTTAAAAAATAGAAAATGATCTGATTGTTGAACCATGTTTGAAATTCACATTTTGTAAACCTCTTCCCCTTATCATGCCTCTGAATTATCCCCATCTTGGCCTTTCCACACATTTACAAACTATTAAGTAAATATAATTATTTCGTTTTTTGGTTTTTTTTCGTTGTTATCCGATAGCTAGCCCCATGTGTATTAATACCATTTGCCATAGCTTTATCTAGATCAGTGAATCCATTAGTGACGTCGTCATTTTTCAATCCATGTTAGGACATGAGCAGCAACAATCTCTAGTGGGATTAATTGTCCCTACCTTTCAGTCTCCCTACATGGAGATTTTGTCAGCTTCTATTGCATCAACAGTATTGTTTGAAAGCATTAGATTGTTAGCTGGTGTATTATTCCGTTTAGATGGTTGGTTTTCTAGGATGTGCTTCGTGATCTTTGTATTTTTCGTTTAGCAATACTTTATGATAATGTGCCTGTTTTTAACAGTGGCTGGTAGGTAATATCGGCTTGAGAATAATTTGTTATACAGTAGTAGAAAATATGGAATTTTTCCAGGATTTTAGTCTAGGACCACGGGATTGCAAGGTGAGCTCTTTAGATACAGTTTCTACTTCACAAGTTAAAATATTGTCAACTAAATAATTGTAAAAAACAAAAAGTAGTGAATCCAAGTTATAGTACAGTACTATGTAATCCATTTGGATTTTTGTGACAGAATAGATTTTATTGGCTACTTTATTATTTTTGGTGTGCTGTTAGGTGCCATTTTTTTATCCACATCATCAGCCGTCAATGAGCAGTGGCTTCAGAAATTTGCCGACAAGGAGTCCGACAGAGGAGTCCAAATTGTGGTTTTAAATTTTTCCAGGATTTGAATCTAAAACCGACACCTGTACATCTGACAGTATGTAAAAGGAAAGTAAATCCTTCCACAGTGCTTAAGACCAGATTATGTATTGTGAAGCAGATGGGATGCTAGTCCATGATCGCAATACAGTATACATACTCAGTGACTGAACCATAACTTCACAAAGAGAAAGATTTGTCAATTTTAATTTATTTGCATGTAATAGATAAACATATTTTAAAAATTTAGCCCTGCCCTCTAACTGTAGTACCAGTATTGCACAATCTTGGACATCATTTATGGGAAGATCAAAAACAAAATGTAGTCTTAAATTAAAAGAATAAACAAATATTCATTTTCTTTCAGAAATTTCAAGATAGAATTGTACCTATCCAAAAAAATGTTGACCATGTGACCAAGGTTTCGCAGCAGTTTCCTCCACTTGGGGTCATGTTAAGCGTGGCTAATTCAAGTCGAATGGACGACCTGATTACTCGATGGAAACATTTACAAATCACGGTAGACGACAGGATAAAACATCTGCAAGATGCTTACAGGGACTTAGGTCCAAGCTCGCAGCATTTCCTGAAAGGTAGAATTTTCTATTAAATTACAAGTATAGTGCCCTCTATTGATGGAAGAAAATTGAAGCATTAGACAGGACACAAACAACATTTCCTTAAGTTTATCTGTAGTGTACTAAAGACTGCATTTAGGGCACATCATTCATCGTCTGCTGGGAGGGAGATGTGTTCAGCAGTATTATAGAAATTACTACAGAAAGATCCAGCACCATTTGTTAGAGATTTAAGATTTTAAATATGTTTTAATTGAAATAATAGTCCTTATCAAATTGAAGAACAAAAAAAAAAACTTTGATCATTAGAAAAAAACTATGAAAAATAAGTAATGGCATATTATGTACTTCATTTGTGTGTAGCACTTCAGAATGTCTCAGATATTAAATACCTGTAATTAGAATGAGACCATAGAATAATAGTGGCACACTAATTAAAACAATTAATTTTAGTTTTGTTATTCATAGTTTCAGTTGAACCACCATGGGAAAGAGCAACAGCTAGCAATAAAGTTCCATATTTTATCAAGTAAGTTGACTTTCATTATTTTCTATTCTATGAAGAACAAACATGAGAATGAATATTATTGCCTTGCTTCATATTAATTTGGTGTACCATACTGATCACAAGGCATGGATAGTTTATTCATTAAAAATTTTACACATTTGTAATATACATATTGAAGTGAAGACCACAGTAAACAATTAGGCGCTTAACCCGAATTGCCATTTGTCGATGGCTCCCCGTCCTCTTGTGTAAAGTGCCTATTAGCTAACATACAACATGCAGCTTGTGTCGTGTGTCAAGTACTGTGTAGGACAGCATAGAAGGATGAATGTGATCAAAAATGATATAGTCCATGTGACCTTTTGAACCCAGATGTCCTGAACCTTATTCAACCCCCACAAACTTATTCAACTTGTAAAATCAAATAAAGTCTAGCATTCTCATATCTTATATGTGATGCCCTTCTTGTAGGCCTTGTTTATGTAGACCAGTCTATATGCCTTTAGGCTTATTCCTCTTCTGAGTTTAGTTTACTCAATGTGTATTTATTGTTGTGGTCTCAGTTCCAATAGTGCAAGGTACTTTCATCTCTTGATGCCAAATAATGGATCAGAATTACCTGTTTGGATGTTCTTCCGCCAAGCAAAGGTCGTAAACAATAGGCAGGTTAATATTGGCACACATATACATATTTTATTCACATCCACTTTTATTCAACATATCTCAGTTTTGCAATGTTGGAAAGCTCATTGCATTTTCCATATCATCTCAAAAGTTGACATCATTGACGAACATAAACTTAATTTTTTTAGCTGTTTGGCAGGTTAAATCACCCTTCAATATGGTAATATAGTGCGCTAGCTAGATCGAATAACTACGACCTGTATGTGTGTGTTGGTTGGTTTCTGATTGCTCAGATGAACTTGCTGTTCAGTACATTCTGAATAAAGTTACGCATGTGCGCACGACACACAATGACATAAAACGGTACAAGCTGAAATGTTGTCTGAGGTCTAAACCTTGCTATTAAAATTATACCATAGCCTTCACCTGATTAAGGTCTGACATATCAGGTTTACTAGATATATACAAGTAATGTGCTGCCTGATATTGTGAGCTTAGGTTCAAAAGGTTAATTAAATCATATCAAATAATTAGAATAATAATTGTTTATAGTTCATATTTGGAGACTTCCGAAGACTCTCTAAGACAACAAAAACATAAAATCATTTACTGTTGATGCTGGTCATCAGCAATCCTATATAAAATTAATGGTGTGTTTGTTTACATACAGCTGTGTAATACAATCAGATTCGTGCTCTCCCATAAGCAATAACAGGTATTTTAATGTCATTAGTCTTGGATTGACTATGGTAATCATTTTGTAATTGAAATAAATCAATATGTTGTTATGCATGCTATAATAATTATGTTCCCTCTTCCATCGATGAAAACATATTTGTTTCTCACAGATTTTTTTTTTTTTTTTTTTTTTTTTTATAAAAAAAAAAAAAGCATTTCTTGGATTTATAATTTCCTTTGATTTGCAAACTGGTTTTTAATCTCTTCTGAATAGTGACTCTTTCTCATGATCGGATGTCATATTTTTTTTGTGGGTGTGGGGGTGGCTTCGTCAGTGCATGATGGAATTAAACTGACATGGAAATATATCTACCTTTTAGTTTATGGTTTACTTTTTCATTGCTTAGTGGTTTTAATTTCTATTTTAATTTTTTTTTCCAAAAATTGGAAATACTGGTTGTAAAATTTCTCTGCATCAACATAAATTCAGTTTCATATATTTCTTGTTTTGATTGACATAAAAATGTCTGGATTTACTAAATATAAATAATATTACTGTTTTCTTTTTCTAGTCATTCAACAGAAACAACAGATTGGGACCATCCAGATATGACAAAATTATTCAAGTCAATGGGTGATCTTAATGATGTACGATTCTCAGCATATAGAACAGCAATGAAATTAAGGAGACTTCAAAAGACATTATGTTGTAAGTGTAGTTAGAGACATGGGAGTAAGTATTGCCCCTGTGTACTCATTATCCAGAAAGATTGACATTAAGAGTGTCTAAAATTGGCCTAACAGTTTGATGCCTGGCTCTCGATCAATCAAAAATTTAAAAATACATTGCTGATGTGACCTATTTTAAATATGTTGAAAAAATATTCATTTCATAAGAAATAATACCAATTTATTTAACCAATTTATAATAATTTATTAATTTAATAACCTCGGATTGGAAGTGCAAGCATCTTCAACCACCAAGCTATTCAACCCCACTCTATAGATTGATTATTGCATCGGGCGATCCACTGAAATTCATCAATTACAATTTATTGTAATTCTTCTTTGTATGATAAATGTTATAATTTCGAATTTGCGTGGATGAATAAATGTTGAATTGAATTGATTGATTGATTAATTAATAAATACACAGATCATGTATAACCATTACCTATACACCATTTTCGCTAAATTTGAAATGAAAATTCTAGAGGCCTAGGCATTTCGCATGGTTAACCAGTGTTTGTAAAACAAAATTAAAAACTTTAATTTACATGATACAAAAACAGTATATTAAATATGGTGATAATTTAGCCATTTCTCTTTCTAGTGGATCTTCTTAACCTGAACATGGCAGACAATATGTTCCAACAGCATTCTGTTGGGAATGACATCGACAGGTTAATGGATGTGACAGAAATGATAAACTGTTTAGCAGCAATCTACGAGCAGTTAGCAAGCGACAATCCCACCCTTGTCAATCTTCATGTTGGGGTTGATCTGTGTCTCAACTGGTTACTCAATGTTTTTGATACGTAAGTTGTGCTTATGCCACTTAGCAATGCTATTAAAAAATTGATAGAATCTTGGTTGCAATATGATATGCCACTAAAAAATAATTATGGCTTCTGAATTCTTTGGTGTTTTCCCTCCAATATTTTCAAGATGCAGACCCCTACTTGCACATAAGGTACAGATAAGAACAAAAGACGTTTATAGTATAACATTTTTAAACATTAATACTTTATCTCATTTGTTGGGTTTTCTAGTTATTTTTAACAACCACTTTTTTTGACATTTTACTCAGCCTCAATTTCTCTGATTTTTTGAGTAATTTCAACTAGGTGTGTTATAAAATGTTTTTTTTTTTAAATGTATTATACTAATGTACAGTTACATTGATGTATGTTTGAGTTTGCCTGGATGTAAATTTAGCCTTTAAACAATAACTGCGATGTTATTCTTCTTATTTGCAGTGCACGTAGTGGTAAAATTAGAGTGTTGTCTTTCAAACTTGGAATTGTAATGTTATGCAAAGCTCATCTTGAGGACAAGTACAGATGTAAGTTGAGTAGTAGAATGAATCATTACAAAATATTTGTGAAGTGTTGTATCCATATTGGAGGAAGCTATATGTATATAAGTTGAAACTCCTTAACAGGAGAATTGAATATTTAGTTTATTATTTCATATTATTCCAAGTATTCAGTATGTGACAGTCAGTATGATGATAATATTCATATTTTGGGGACCCCCAGAAATTGTGCATTTCGATTGTGTAACTTAGTTTTATTATTCTTGGTGTTGCAGAGTAAAAAACTTATAATATGACACTGGACTGGTTCAGTTGTCTACTCCCTAGGAGTTGAGTGGCTGAGTGATAAGCAGGGGCACTGTTAACTACAGCCTTAACATTGGCGATCGTTTGAGTAGCTTCTCGTCCAAGGTTCGGTTGGTAGAACCAAGTCTTCTCGAATAAGGACTTAAAATGGAGGTTCAATTTACACATCTGGCTCATGTGCCCTTTAAAGAACCCATTGCATCTTTTGGAAGAGTAGATGGTATCCCCAATGCAGTGGTTCATTTCAGCCCTAGTCGTCGTGGAATGATGTGAACATGTATAAGCGCATCTTTACTGCGGCAGGAGTTACAAACCACGTAACAATGACGCTGCAATTTATGGGGTATTCTCCTAACTTACCTAGGACTTACTAGGAGGCGCTATATAACTGAGCGTTATTAAATGCACACCCTGTGAAACTCGTCCCCCAATATCATGTTTCAAAGCATGAGTTGCTATTGCTGTACCAACCACTTCCAAAAAAAGTTCATTAAAAACCTATTACTGTTTTTCTCTCAACAGATATGTTCCGATCAATAGCACACCCAGATGGATTCGTTGACAAGCGTCGCTTAGGTCTGTTTTTCCATGATTCAATACAGATCCCGCGGCAACTTGGAGAGGTGGCAGCCTTCGGTGGTAGCAATATTGAACCAAGCGTGCGGAGTTGTTTCAATATGGTGAGATTGATTTATCAGATCCTTGATTCATAACAGTTGTTTTTCATGCTATTTCCAAGGTTGTGCATTTGGTGTATTTATTGTGAATAGGGTTTCTAAAAAATCATACTCTGGATTTGATTTTCAAGCTTGATGATAACATTGTTTTTATTTTATTGTTAATAGGCTAATACTGAAAGGTTTGTCAGACTGCACTTTGAAGGCATTAAGTTTTATTAAGAGTGAATTGTAGTTGGATGTGCAAGAAATAGAAAATAGAAAACAATGTTCAGAAATACGGAGAAATTGTTTAAATGTAATCAAACTAAAATATGTCATTATGACAATGATTTCACTGCATTTTATACATTGTAATTGAGGATATTAAACTGTTATGTGTTGTTTTATATTTATTCCTAGGCTAACAACAAAGATAGCATAGAAGCAGCTCATTTCTTAGACTGGATGAAGAGGGAGCCCCAGTCGATGGTGTGGGTTCCCGTACTTCATCGTCTCGCTGCTGCTGAAACAGCCAAACACCAATCCAAGTGCAATATCTGTAAATCCTGTCCAATCGTTGGCTTCCGATATCGCTGTTTAAAGTGCTTCAACTTTGACCTATGCCAAGTAAGTCTTGTAGTGCCCTAATGGTTTTCTGTTATTGTCACTTTTTAGGTTTCAACATCATATTTGTATAGGTATTATGCTCAATACATTGATAATTATATTCTACACAGGATTACCTGTTTTAAATCTTACTCCATAGTTTCGTTTTTTGCTCTTGAATTGGGCAAATACAATCAGATTTTTTTTTTATCTATCAGAAAATATTTAATTAAAATTTGATAAGTTACAACATTGTTAAATACAAAATTTGTTTGATCAGATGTCTAAAGCTTCATCCAGACTATCAAGTTTTATTTGAAAAAAACATGTGACATGCCTAAATATGGTCATGATGACACCACATAATGTACATCATGATCAAACATGGGTAAAGTTATGCTGATTATACCACCTTAATCCAAAGTAATCCTCCTGAGCCTGGTGACCCCTTTTATTGTTAGTTCCTTTGTGACCTTAGGTTACTGAGGATCTATTGGGATGATACAGATGTGAAATGTGTGTGTGTGTGGCAACAACCAGTCTGTATGTTTGTAAACAAATAGGCTCCTAAACGGGGCCTCGCGGCGGGTATACATTGTGCCTAAGAGGTACTGGTGGACATGTAATTGTGTGGGAAATGTTTGTTTTTTCGGTTAGATAGAAAATGTAGGCTGTACGCGATAAAACATATACCCCCTGCCACCAGTTTTTGAGTGGTTTTTTAGTCCAAATTTTGATTTGCACATGCGTCGGGAAAACTTTGCCGACATTTTGTTTTTGACATCGCGAGCGGCTTAGTGAAGTTCGTCATGTTGTTTTCGCCGCTGTCTGAACATTGAGCAAGCTGAGATGATGTGGCAAATTGGCCAATGTGTTATTATTAATTATGGTGTAATGTGTGTTTTAGTATAGTCCATACTTGAAGGCAAGAGTACATTGAACAAAGTCAATACAAACAAAAACAGCATGGAATTGACGGACCTGGTGTGTCTAGGCCTAGCTAGGGCCAGCATGACATAGGCTACGTAGGCTTTTCTTTAGCGACTGTGCTATTGCAATTGACTGCCCTGGTGCAGGCCTAGACACAAGCCTAAATTAGGCTTCTTTTCAGCGACTGTGCTATTACTTAAAGGTCTGCCGTGTGTTTTAGTAATCGCGGGCTGTCTCGAATTTCGTCGTGTTGTTGATCAGATCGGCAATTGTGCTATATGATCAGGTGTACCTATCCTAGTGTGTGTTCAATTAATACTGGTTTGTAGGTGTACCCTGTTGGGGGTGTGGGAGGAAGTGATATACAGCATGTGATGGACTGACTAGGTGGGGCACCTTACGTAATCAGAAGCGTTCCTTTGTAGGCATACGCAAAAACTAAAAACAAATTCGATAATTACCCCAAAGTCATTAATTGTATTCTATTAAATTTGAAGGCCCTGCTGTATTAGGTATGCCACTACCAAACCTGAAAACAATCAGTTGGTCGGTGCACATGCTTTATCTAATGCCATACAACACATGCGTGGTCATCATCAAACAACGGTGCATCCCATATAAGCAAAATGGACTTGAAGTAGAATTTAATGAAACTAAAATGTATATACAAAAATATAAATTATCAACATGGCATGTAGTTTTACAGTATTGTATTATTTACAAAAAAAGCTTAAAAACGAATCAGTTGATCGATGCACATGCTTTATCTAAAAACCACCATGCAGTTAACTTTTAAACTTTCCCGTTGTGAATTTGAAGACGGTATGGTAATATCAAAAACAAACTTTGGATTAAGTCAATTTGAATCTTAATAAATCCCTAATATTCGTGTATGTGATTTTGTTTTACTGTATACAGTAATGGTAATGGTTGGAGACTTATATAGCGCATAATACATGGTCTCTATGCGCTCGGGACTAGATGTTGCACTTTACAATAACTTTCTCCTCCCCTAAGGGTCACTTCATGTCTTCCGCAGCCAGTAAACCGGCGCACTTTCATCTGTCCACGACAGGGGCCGAATGAACCAGTATACCGGGGTAACCCCCTACTCATCTCGAAAGATGTACTGGGTTCTTTAAAGTGCACATGAGCACTTGTGTACACTGGGCCTACGGTTAGTCCTTATCCGAGAAGACTTGTTCCACCACCAGAACTATAGGAGCGAGCCGGCCGCGAACCCGTGCCGATATTTTGGCTATGATCACGGTGCCCCTGCTTTAACCGCTCGGCCATTTGGCCCGTAGAACCCTTAATAGGGGGTGTTCCCTGAATCTCTGGAAACGCGTGAGTCATCACGCTGTGAATTAACGATCCGATCAGCCTACTGGGCAGGTCTTTTCAAGGACGGACCGCGGTGTTGTCTATCTTTATCCGCAGTTAGGGAGCTGCTTATTTTTAGCTACAGTAAACAACAAAATAATTTACAAGAATGGGCTTTGTATTCAAATTTATGGCGACCAATGTCTGTTGTAAGCAATTTTAAGAGTTTCAAGTCGGCAGAATTCGGAGACGATTCCTTTATTTTTTGAGCATTTGTTAAATTTACCGACCTAGGCCGACTTACCCTCAGACCCTAAATACCTCCATGCTGAGACTTTACCTGGGGGAATTCTTGTACGCAAAGTTGGGCGTAAAGGCGGGGGGGGGGGGATTGGGGGGATTCTACCCGGGGAACTATGGTAATATTTTATAGCAGTAGTGACTGAGAGAGTTTTCTCTATTGTTAAAAAAAGAAGACCAAGCTTCGAGCTGGCATGACAACAAAAACTTTAAGTACTTTAATGACACACAAGCTGGAAATGTTGAACAGAGATTGTTAAGTGTCATTTGAATAAATATTGATGTTATGACTCCAATGAGATCAGTGAAACAAGCAACATACCGTGCCCTTCATGGTGAAGTCTGTAGCAGTATAGGCCTATTAATTAAAATGTAACTTAAATATTTGTGTTGGTTGTGAGGTAAATAAACAGTACACTTGAAATTAAGTAACTCTTGTTTTGTTTGAAACAGCTGTACAGGAATTAGGATATATAATTGCCATCTTAATTCTTACAACTGTTTGTCACCAATGAATAGAGTCCCTATTTTTGATATTCGAATGTTGGCAGGTATGTAAATTTACAGCATTTGATGACGGACCTGTATGGGGGTGTAGTTGTATGTAAAAACATTAGAAACCATTACTGGACCACAAATCCCTCTAAACTATGTTTACGTACAAAGGAACGTACACACCCGCAGGGTTCTGGTTTTCATCAAAGTTTGTATAGCATTGATCTCATATTTCTGTATAATTATATTTAAATTAAAAATATTTTTTTTAAAGCAATTAATTATTGATATGCCATTTTATGTTTAAACATAATAGTTAAGTTCACTATTTCATCCATTAAAAATTATTAGGTCTTGTTGGTAGGATTGTTTTTACAATATAAATACTTTGAAAACTTTGTGATTTAATTTCTTTGTATTTCCATTTACAGAACTGTTTCTTTGCGGGAAGAAAAGCCAAAAACCACAAACTCTCACATCCTATGCGTGAATACTGCACTCCAGTAAGTAGCACATTTTATATACCTGATGTATGAAGCTAAGAATTTGTTATGTCCTCCCTTTTCAAGCTGAAGCTTTTTTGCATTGATTACAATCTTAAGGAAAATGAGAGTAACCTTGTTATGGCAACATCTTACCACGCCTTCATGCTTTTATTCCCTTCCTATAAAAAAAAAAAAAAAAACACCTATAAAGTTGCCATGATTCATTTAAAATAGTAAATAACAAGTGAAACTGTGTACTATAAATATTGCATTATAAAGTTATCTCATAAACAAAAGGAGTAAACATTTTTCCCAGTCAAAAGTAGTCAATGCACAGCCGTTGTCAAAATTAAAATCAAGAGCAATATTTGTTCATCCAAAGGAATTTGCTTCTTATCGAATGTAGAACATTACAACTAAAGAGGCAATCAGCAAATAATGGCAAAAATATGGATACATCATCATTATTTCTTTTCTATCAATCTGACATTTTCACAGCAGTTAATTCTTCCAATTTTCTCTATCATAATGATTTATGTTTCATGATGGCTTAGCTTTCATTTGTTTCAGGTCATCTAAAATTATTACTCTCTTTATTCCTCAAGGACGCTTTCCTTCTGTTGTTCCTTTGATTACTGTATATCTCTCAAAAGAGCATCTCTTCTAAGTATATGTCTGATCCATTTCTTCATTCTGTCTTTAATGATTACTAAATGATTACTAATAATCTACCAAACAAAAATCAGAAAAAATGCAACTAATATGACCATAGTCAATTTTAAAAATACCATTTGTGGTAATTTACTTTAAATTGAAATTTTTATTATAAGGTCTTTTTTTGTGCCTTGTTTAATTCAGGTTTTTCTTTTTTCTTTTCTCTTTCATTTTTGATACTTTTTTGTTCCGTTTAATATTTTAGTTCTGTTTATATTCTTAACTTTGTTAAGAAAACTGGACCATTTTGAAAAGCAGTACTGCGCTACTGAAAATGCTATCCAGTCGATTAATAATAAAGATCTTTTCTCCTTTACTCTCTCAAGTACTTGTTCATTTGTAAGATTGTCTTTCCAACTATTTTTCTCCTTCTGCATATCCACATTTCAAAAGTTTCCAGTCTACCTCTTTATTTCAGACTCATATAGAGCTGCACTCCATATAACAAAAGGTTTGGGGAGTGGAGTTAAATAGCTTGTTAAGATGCTTGCCTCACTAAACCAAGGGTCCTGGGTTCGACTCCTGTGGCAATATGACTTTTTCTCAAAGCTAATAACAACTCATTTCCCTAAGCCTCATAAACAGACTTCGCTGATAAAGCATTCATTTCATTTCTTTTATTTCGTCCGAAAAACATTAAAATTGACAAACACAAGATAACAGAGAGCTAAAAACAACACTCAGTTGGCTGGACAGGATTGCGAAAAAGTGAACTGAATCACTGTCTAGTGGCTTTCCAATGCCAATGAGAACATAAATTAAATTAGCATAAAATATTCAAGTAAAAAAGGCCAATCAATAAAATTTAAATTAAAAGATATATATGTACAAAATCATAAGTGAAATTGGTCAAAATACAATAAAATTTGAAGAAATAAGAATTGCAGCAAGAAACAAAAGTTAAAAAGTTTGTTTTACAATGGTAAAATTCAAGACTATAAATTAAAATAGAATTATTGATTAGCATAAAATAGTTTTAAAATTCTGAAAAAAGTTTCAATTCCGAAAACAAGTTCATCTCAAACATCAGCGGGAAGTTTATCCGAAACTCTCATCATGTTATTTTCATTTATTTCGAGGACTCCTGAATATCAGCTAACTTTCTAGGATACACTAGAAGGGTCACGCTCTGTAAAGATGATTGAAATAATTAATTATTTTATTTAATTTTTCATTTCCATCTTTCTATAAACAATTTTTTCGCCGTTGTGAAACAAATAACATGGTTAGTCGTCCTAGTTTTGTTGAATAGTAATGAATAGAAATGACAGTACACCTCTTCATTTGAATAATAATCATCTGGAAAGTGCAGTCTGTCAACAGATACTTTTATCTAAATACTATTTCACACTTTAGTAGTCTCTATAGTACTGTCTCTTTCTGTGAATCATTATACAAAGATATATTATTACACCATAATCGACAATCAACTCCTCAACATCATATAATTACTATATTGGACTTAATAGTAAATGCTATTTCAATCTTATAATGTGAATAATACAGAAATTTAAACACTAATTTAAAATTTGGAATTTGTTAAGAGAGAGAAATCACTACACTGAACATGGCAGATGTACTGCGAATCATGTATGTTTCAATAGATTTTTAATAATAAAATCAGCTAGGCCTTGCCTACATGGTATTGAGCTTAAAAACTGTTGAGCAGTTTTTGAGATAATTTAAAATTGCTGTTATAAAATCTTGATGGTTTGCATAAGCAATGTTCATATAGAACAATTATATAAAATTACCCATCGATCTAAATAGCATGAAGTCTTCTCATAAAAAATAAACATTGTTTTTCTAGCTTTTCTGGCAGACACATACACATTTATTCACCATATTTATAGAGGGCGAGACTACCAGCTTATCCTAGAAATTTTAGCTGATATTCAGGGGCTTAAATTAAATAATGTGATGCTTTATCAGCGAAGTCTCATTATGAGGCTTAAGAAGTGGATATGCGTTTAGTCGTGAGAAAACATCTTGTGCTGTTGCATGATTTGAACCTAGGACCCTGGAATTGGAAGGCAAGCTACATCGCCACTCTTAACTTTGCTACTTACTTATGTGGTGGCCTGTCCAACCAGGACAGCCTACCACAGTTCTCCAACATTAGGAAGCTTTCGATTGCACGACGACGGTAGGACTTAGAACATAATGGTGTCACTAAATGTCACCTGCGCATGCGAGAACGTTAAGTTCTCGTAGCGTGGATTCTAGGACGCAATTTGGCCAAATCCACGTATGCAGAGAATGTAGGACGCTCAGTACGACATTCACACATGAGTGATTCCATTCTAGCCTTGCGTTGTGGCACAACGCCAAAGCTCCCATTGTCTGTCTTGCGCTGTTATTGCCACTTTGACTTAAGTTGGTCTACTGGCACACTTCATAGGTTTCCTCATGGTCTCCTTCCTCTAACTTTTCCTTACAAGACATTTCTTTGAATCTTATTGGCTCTTATTAGGTACTGACATTTCCTCTTCCTTAAATCCTTAGAAGTATACGTTTCTCATCTACTTGTTGAAGAACTTTTTTGTTAGTTTTGCGCTGTTTGTGAAATGCGGGTCATTTTTCTATAAAATGTACTTTAAGTAAAATGATAAGTGAAATTTGAATAAAGTTTTAATTTTCATTCGTCTAAACACAACTATGATGATTGAGCCCTCTGTACAAATTCAACTAGTTCAAACGCACTCCGATATCTGATAGTAAAATCAATTAACATCTATTTAGGTTTGTTGACATTTATATCTAGGACATTTTTGTAGCGCCAGTTGGTTGATCATTCTAATCTCCTCATTGAACTTTGTGACAGATGAATTATTAACATTTAGATACCCGATAATAACCGTATCATCGGCATACTTAACTTAATCTTAGCGCATTGAAATTGAGCCCAATAGTCATAGGTATATGAAGATACGCTGTAACAAGACAATTTTATTTATCTTTCTTTATTTGTCATATATTATTGAATATCTTTTACGATGTTGTTTGTAACAGTATGGTATAATTTGTCATCAACCTCATGATCGTCAGTGATGTTGTTTAATTTATTAATTGAATCAATCTACGTTGCAACTGATTCAAATATTTACTTATCCCTTTTAGTGCCTCTATTCCGATGCTTCTTCACCTTCAAAAGATTGACTATCAATCTTAACTATGTATGTGACTCTAGTCACAACAAAAATTCAGTGTTATATAATATTCTACCCAACTGGAGTTGAGTCACTTCTGCAATGTTAGAAACTGTGCTTTGCCTCAAGTTGACTGTATTTCACAGCGTTTCCATAATTCAGACCTGCAGACCTGAGTAATTTGTTATTTTGCGAATCTGGCAGATAATTGCCTGTTAAGGTTTATTTATTTTCTGTATTATAGAGTATTTTTCTCTTTAAATTTCATCCCTTTAGACTACCTCGGGCGAAGATGTCAAGGATTTTGCAAAAGTAATGCGTAACAAATTTAAATCGAAGCACTACCATAAGAAACATCAGCGCCTTGGTTATTTACCTGTAATGACAGTACTAGAGGGAGATGATCTGGAATCGTAAGTACTTTATAATTTTTACTATCAAGTATGTTATCTTTACTCTCAGAATGAAACATATAATAAAACTCCTGTAAAGGTGGTGCAAGGTGTGTGAACTTTTATCATCATTTTGAGTTTGGACTACGATATAGTTTATATTAAGTAGGTCAAGAGGTCAGGATATTTGCGTTACATATAACTTTTTGTAATCATTGCGCAACCTTGCACTAATTTCCGTAGATCTACAATAACATAGTTTCGTTTTGTTTAGTAAGCGAAAGTCATTTTGTAATGTAAGTCTTACATTTTATAAGTCAATAAAAAGATTTACTCAGATCGAGGTATCGTCTTATGCAGGAATTAATGTGTTCAGAATCTTCCTTGGACCATTAATCATTTTAGTTATTTACATGTATAAGCCTTGGATCGTTTTTTTCCTTCTTCTTTCTCACTTAAGCCTTCTTACTTGGCAGCTTGGTACTTTTCAAGAAAAAATGAATGATGAATCTGCATGTCTTGACGCTATTACTTTTTTTAAAATGTTTGCTGCCAATATAATCTCTACGGTATTAATTGGTGACTGCCAAACAATTTACTTTTTATTTGAAAACTCTGTTAAAATTGAAAAATTTACAATGATCTTTTTATTTTGAAATGGAAATTTATTAATAAAAAGATAGATTTTGAATTTTTTGTGTACCATCCATCCAATAGCATCTAGGAAGTATGTCGGGAGTTTACGGTTGAAATAGTGATAAAAATATTTTTTTCAGTTCAATTTAGTGTGGTATTATAAAAAATGTTGTTATAAATTCAGTCAGTAGATGAGAAAGGAAAATGCCTTAATTTCAGTGTAGGTGCTATTTCTTTAATTGTATACTTTCTACTTTAAATGCCTACTTCACAAATGCATCTGTGTTTATGTTATTTCTCATTCACTTAAACACGATTAGCATGAAATGAAATACTGTTGCAGTGAGCTTACTGAATCGGCTATTAGAAAGTTTATCTCGTCTAAAGTGTACGCAAAACCCTTAGTTGTTGTTTCTACCGGCACAATTAAAGTCATTTACGCTGCCAAACGAGGATGTTCATTTTGTTGCCAATTAAGACAAAAATTGCCTCGGGAGATAGCCTGCGGACACGATTTGTAGGAGATTTAACGCCTTGCAATAGCTAAATTCTTCCGTGATGTAATTTCTAAATGAACTGAGGTTAAAAAAGGAGAATCGAAAAGCGGTCTTATGGTTGAAATTCAGAAGGTAAAGTGGTTTAACGAAGCAGTTGATTAATTATATTTTAATCACGTATTCATAGGGGATGGAGCAATGAATAGTTTAGTTGATTCATAAGTAAACCTAGGAAACCGTGTTGTATGAAAATCCAATATTGTATCAACAAGACTGAGGTTGGATGTAATTCATTTGTTGATATTGGCCCTCCTAACTAAATTATTTTATATATTGGTGGGTGCATTTAGGTTTCATACTAAAGGGAATATATTGTAATTTTTCCCCTTCCACTCCTGAATTATATTTTATTTTATTTATTTTTTTTTTTATCAGATTTTTTACTTCTTTCTTGAGATAATATAACATTTTAATTCAAGACTTGAAAATAGTAAAAATTAAAAGGATGTACATTTTTTGAGTTGAATTTAACACATTTTAATTTTTTTCTTTACGATGAAAAATACTGCAAGTCTACAGTACGTGTATATACAAAGGGTAACACATTTTCTTGGATGGGAGAGGACGATGATGATAATTATATTATATTATATATCATCAGTATCAGAGAATTTGTTTGTGTACTTAATAAAAATTTTATGAAATTGAGTGCTTTAGGAAATAATGTGTCTCAAATGTTTATGCTTTCCTTTACCTTATTTCAAATAATAATTTTAGTGTTTGTTTCTTTTTCTATCATGATGAATGAAAATTGTAGCCAAGTATAGCTTGCTATAGAACAATATAAGAAATTACAACACTTTTACGACTAACTTGTATAAAATTTATCTCTAGCTTTTCGTGGACTTCATCAGGAAGCTGTACAATTTTTTTTATATATTTTTTTTTTATACAGTTCCTGATGAAATCCATTGTGTGGACGAAAGCTAGAGAATAAATTTTAAAAGTGCTGTTGTGATTTCTTATATTCTTGCTTTTTGTAAAGAAGTATTATTACTTTTTAGGACAAAATAAATTAATAAAAAATAGGTGAGGTAACGTAATTTATTTAACCAAACTGTAAACTATACCATTTCATATCAAACATCCGGTGATCCGATTCAAAGACATAAAATAGCATAATGTAGTTGGCCTTCTATAATTTATAGTATACTGAACACTTGTCATACTGTTTTGTTATTACTGTTATTTGTGTCGGTTATCTTAAGTATTTCTAATATTTTCATTTATAGGGATCATATTAAAGTTGTAGACATTTTAATGTACAGTGATTTATAAATGGTGGACTAATTTATATGTACATGGTAGGTGAATCCCATTAGTGAGTAGTAGTTGATTTCCTTTCTCATCTATATCCCCTCATTAGTCAGATTAAAGCATATTAAATAAAATATACTTGAAAATACAACAGCTTTATTTCAAGATTAGGGAGCTGTCCAAAAACCACATTTATTTATATATAAATTAATCACAAATCATATATTTATTTTACTTAACATGTTGACTGCCAGACTTTTTTTTTTAGGTTCCCTGAACTATGAACCGTTTTAAGTCTGTGATTCCACATTGTATAACCATAAAGTAATAAACGCTAGAATGATACCCCAGGTTTGATGAGTATAGTCGTTCCTAGTGCCCTCAGCAACAACCTGTGGAACGAGTATACTCGTTGCTGGCAACGAACGTATTAAAATCATTTGCAATGAGCTCTGATAAAGAAAAAAGGAACAAGTGTTTCCGTAAAGACGGTAGTCTGTATAAACATAAGAAAATTGGTAAGCTGTTTCGAAAAGAACATAGTAATTTCATTCATCAGATGCAATATTAAAAAATATAATCACCATCATCTTCCATATTGTGCATACCTTGAATACTATTTCAAAAATGTGAATTTGGCTCTCACTCATCCTGCTCTTTAATGTCCTGGTGGCAATTATATCTTTAAATTGGCTAATAAACAAATCAAATGAGTGGTTTTTGTGATAATTCCGCCCACCATGGAGCCATTGGCGCCGTGCCCACACAGTTACGTGAATGTTGATACATTGGGATGGAAAGCGAAATGAAACTGATTTACTCAAAAACTAGAATTACTAATCATATTTCAATTTGTATTATTTTTTAGTTTAATATTAAAATAATTACTGGTATAATTGTAATACAGTTAAATGTTCTTTTTAAATGCCTTAACTCAACAATTTTATTATTACTGATAGTGTTGGTTTTTTTTTTCTATTAATGTTTTTTTTTATTAATTTAGTTGTAGTTATTAAAACTTAATATTGTTAGTTATTAAAATTTTTTTTATATATAATTGTTGTCACTACTATTAATCACTGTGTGCAAATATTGTCTTTTTCAAGTGACATTACTTCATTTTCAAGATCAATGTATTGAATGTCCACCATTAAAATCCATTTGAGCAATTTAAATTTCCAAACTACATATAAATTATGGTTATATTAAACCAAAATCCTTCCCTCAAGTATAAAATTGAAACTAGAGATTTCCTTGATGCTACAGTATTACATTGGGCTGTGGGGCATTTATCTCTAACATGAGGTGTTTCTTCTGTTCATAACTACTAGGTTGCCAGGTTGCTCAACAATTTTGTCCCAATTATCTCAAATTGTTTAAATGAATTTTTGTACTGATAAATGCATTGAATTCATTGCTGTAATTGCTTTAATAAGAATTGTTCCATTTAGTAGCCATGGCAACATACCTTCTATTTGAATGTGGTGGTAAGCGCAAACATGTTGCTCCGATTGTTTCGTAAATTGATTGTAGTGTAAACCGTTAGTCTGATGAACATGTCTGTCCAGTTGTTAAAGTATGATTGATCATTTACAGAATTGTTGGTATTTAATTACTGTTGACCAAGAGTGAATTAATGTTTTCGATACTGGCTCTCAGTTATGGTATCAGTAGGATTGGATGGAATTAATGTACTTTAAATAATAATAATATGTCGTTCTTACATAGCGCTTCATGCACAAAGCCTCTAAGCGCTTCACACTACTACCCTGGTCATTGGATCAAACACATATGGAACACATACTGAACACCAAATTAAATTGTTAAATTAAATTATATTATTATTCCATAATATTGCAGCTAGTAATCAGCGCAGTTGTGTTGGAACCTACCAGGTACCCACTTGTACTCATGGGTGGAGAGAGGCAACTGTAGATAAAGTGCCTTGCCAAATGACACTAGCCAACTGCTTCTACAAATAAAATTATTTTTTTTATTATGAAGGACAACATTTTGGAATGATATTTGAAAACCTCATTTTTCAAGCTTTATTTTGTTAACAATTTTATGCTGTGGTGTGGGGAATACGGGGAATGATGGTCGGCAATAAACACCAACTAAGGCCTATAGTGAAAAATATGACCAACCACAACTGACCATTATATTCAAATGTCAGTGGGCTTAGGCCACAAAATATAATTTGTTTGCGTGTATTCATGTATACTTTAAGCTCTTTTAAGACTCTGAAATTTGATTTGACAAAAACAAGTGACATGCCTAAATATGGTCATGATGACATCATATCATGACCATATATAGGCACATCATGACTATATAATAATTGTTGACTTATATAGCTCGTATTGTGGAGACCTCTATGCGCATTATTACCCCGGTCATTGGATCAACACATAACAGTACTCGGGTCCCTTGGGAGAATTCCATAATGTTGCAGCTGTAATCAGCGCATTTTGTGTTGGAGCCTACCAGGTGCCTACTTGTACTCCTTCGTGGAGAGAGACAACCATAGGTAAAGTGACCTGGCTAAGGACACAAGCGAAATACAATGCGAGGGATTGAACCTCCGACCTTCAAGGAAGCAGAACAGCAACCACTGTGCCAAATTGCTCCAACATATATATTTGAATTAATACAACAAATTTCTAGTCAAAGAAAATTTGACTATGTGGCCAGAGCTTAGTATCACTTTTGCTATAGTTATTTAATTTGCATTGATTTCCTTATAGCTATATTGATATATTTGTATAGTTTATTTCAAACAAAAAAATTAATGTCAACCATTAAATATTATTGTACAAATATTGTTGCTACTGTATTTTGATTTGCTGGTACATTTGCTGGTATCTGAAGTATGCTAAACCTCAGTTATGTAAACTTACAGAAATTAATCTTGGTTAAAACTTCGCAGTTTTCTAGAGCAATGCGATGTTGCAAAAAAATCATAATCTGCATTTTACGACAGAATTGATCTACAAAAATGATGGTTTATGATATGTACCAAACATGTGATTAGTTGGGTATTTGAAAAGAGGTTGCCTGCGTTTTGTAGGCCAGCTTTGGATTAATAAATTTGAATATGTCGTTCAGATTACTAATTCATTTTTAGGTGTGAGTACAGCATATATTGATCTTTGCATCTCATTAATGTTGTTATAATATTGAAATAGATTACTAAACAAGGCAGAACTTTATTGATATTGTAAATCTAATTATATTAATATTGTAGCTGCCACATCACGCCTTAAATTAATTGTAGGGTTAAAGGTTTACATGTTTCTGTTTGTATGAACAACCAGCGGCCATCTTTTGTGCAATATCATCATTATTTGATTAAGCGTTTGCTTAAGATTTGTTTACTCACTACCCATTGCATTTGATATTGGTAGAATTATATAAAAGAAACTTGCCATTTGCTGTTAGGTTGAAAATACTCTCAACGGATATTAGCTCACACACAGTCAGTTTCCTGCTTCTAGTCTCCTGTTCTGATGTATCCAACAATTGGCAATGACATCGAGGTAACTTTACCCACACGAGTACTGTAAGTAAATACGTTTAACGTTTTGTATATGTTTGTGATTTGCATAGGCCAGCAGCCTCACCGCAGTTGATGGCTAACCAAGATATGCACACAAGGCTAGAGTTGTACGCCAGCCGTTTGGCGGAGGTTGAACAGAGTTCTCCCGTACACACGCTTCCCCATTTGTAAGTAACCAGATTTTATATTATTGTTATTATCCAATGCATATATTGTGTATGTGATGCGTGTGTATATATATACACATATTTGGTGGTAGATTTCTATCATTTATTTTCAATTAATATGTAGTTTTTTACTTCAATAGTTGAATCAATATATAAATTTTTTACTCATTGTTATACATTGATAAAAACAAACTTTAATCAGTGTTATTATATTCTCAAATACATTAATTTTTTTCATAATATTTTTGACAAATGTATCAAAGTATTTTCAAGATATTCAAGAACTTTTATTGGTCTATATATAATGAAAATTGTTTGCTTGGCAGATAAAAATGACATAGAAATGAACAACAAAAGTACATATATACATTATATAAATATCAATATCAAAATGTGGCTCCTATTAAATATTCTATATCTTACTAATTGTGAATATGCAATAAAGAAGAAGAGGAATTTCAAATCATCATCTATTGGAAATCAGATGCAGATTTCTCGTAAATGCTTTTTCCCTAAAGTAAACGATGAGAAATGGAAAAAAAAAATAATGAATCTTTTGACGGGATGATTAATAAGTTAGATGTAGAGAAAGATATTCAGTATTGCTATTCGTTAAGCTTTATTGATTACAGAGATAACCTTTGAACTTTGCAGGGAGGATGAACATCAACTTATTCATCAATACTGTCAAAGTCTAGGAGGGGATGCTACGGCGATGGTGAGTCGGATGAAAAACACATTCTAGATTTTAGAACTTTCTGGGTATGCAGGCTATGAGCAAAAATAAGCAATTGCATCATGTCATCTGGTAAAAAATTCAGAAATAAAATACAAAGTTAGAAAAAAAAAAGTAATTATACTTTTAGACAATTTTTGTACAGTTTGCTCATGTAAAAACAGTGATGATGATGATGATGATGATGATGATAATGATGGTAATAGTGATTTCAATGGTAATTTAATACAGTAATAGATTGAATGCTAAATAAACACATTTGGCAGTTAGTCTCATGGCCTAGAGTGGCAGATCCAGAAATTTGAAATAGAGGAGGCCCAGCGAGGAGATTTCACAAATGGAGGATATAGAACACCTCAGCCCCATTAGAGTTGGGGCTGAGATAAGACAATGTATGATTACTGCACCTCTAGAAAGGCTGGACATGGCACTCTCAGACTTCATTTTTTTTAAAGTAATTTTGAAAAATATAGGGGGCCCCCAGGCCAGCTGGGTCCCCTCCCCTTGAATTTGCCACCGATCTGTATTTGCATTGCTTGTGAACATCACACGCTTAACTTTTAAATCCTCATGCTTAGACATCTTGTAACCATTGTTAAAATGCTGTAAACATTTCAAAGTTTACTCTTGAGCCTAGTCGTATCACAATTTACACCATTCATACCTAAGCTTTTTCTAAGACAAAAGTAAAGTCACCAATAAATGCTCCATTCTCTAGGCCTCATTTTTTTCTTTTAAAACATCCAGGTACCATTACAATCTTCACTCCCAAAGATTCACACTGAGACAATTGTCACATTGCCACTACATCCCCTGCTCCCTTATAACCATCCTATCAAGTAAAAATATCTAATAAACTATTTTACTGCCTCTTCTCCTTTGGCCACATACCGAGATGGAACAATTTGCTGCCATTAAACTCTCTGCTGTATAAGATTTCCTTCACCCTCCACTTCTTAAGACTCGTACTAAGACAAAATGTTCCATCACCATTACACCCTCCACTCACTAATCCTTATATTGAGATGTATTTGATGATAATAATAATAATAATTATTATTATTATTATTATTATTATTTATGTGGAATGACACTTTTGTAACAGCGGCACAAAACCAAGTGGGTGATGCATCGAAAATAAAACATAGAAAAAAGAAATGATATGAAAACAAAATAAAATAATTAGCATTAAATGAATTCCTGTGAGAGACACCAATGTAGACAACTCAACCAAAGACCTGATGAATAGCTGAGAACCTCTCGACGCCATGAACAGCACACAACTCAACCATCTTTAGAAGTAATTCTTCTGAAGATTACATATTTCAATAATACATGTTTCAGTAAGATCACATATTTCAATAATGTAATTGACATATATATATTGGATATGAAATAATTAGAAAAGAAAAAAAAAATTATATTATTAATTTTTTTTTTTTTGTAACAATTAAAGAAATGACAAACAGCACTTCATCAGGAGATTGTCCACTATGTGGAAGAAAGCTAGAGCTAAAAGATTCTGTAGTTAGTCTTAAAAGTGCTCTTGTCATTTCTTATATTGTCCTATAGCAGTCTAATTTGGCTACACCTTTTATTTTTTTGTAATCATTTTTAGCCAAGAAGCCCTGCACAAATTGTTGTTGCAATCGATGCAGAACAGAGAACTGAGCTTCAAACACAGATAGCAAGTTTGGAAGATGAAAACAGGTTAGCAAACAATATCACAAAATTAATGATGCATTCATGGTTATATTCTCTAAAAATTCATAGCTATTACAAATTAATTAAAATTATGTTATAGCTAAAATGAATTTACCCCTGTGTACAATGGAAAGATAGAACTTACAAGCTGCCGATCATGTTTTTTTTTTATTTGATGAAGGTTATTTCCACAGCATAAATTGTATTTGATAGAGTTTTTTCAATACGCATTGATTTCTGCCAAAGTTATTCATTCATTTATCTGTTGATGACCATTGCTTTCTGAGATAGAATTTGTGATAAACTCAACCAAACCACTTACTGTTTCTATATTGAAATGTTTTTAATCAAGATATGTTACATTTGAGAAGCTGTGTAAAGTTTCCATGATTGCTTTTACATTAAATAGACCTGTCCTGATTCTTCTATTACCACGTATTTTGACTTTGCATCTTACAAGACGAACAGAGACATGAGGAAACAGATAGCCTACCTAAATTGTCCATCAAAATGATACAAGACATCCAACTCACGTCTTCTGTAGTGGATTAACTCACATAGGCTTAGGGCAAGCAGGTGCAAATCCCCCACTGGCTGGAAGCGATTTTAAAGGCAGATGTTTTTGAGAAATGTGTAGCTAGTGCATTTCTCTGTCAGTGTATGTGAAATACTGTCTGATACCCAACGGAATATTGAATCACTACATGAATTTGGTTCGAGTTTATGTTAATCTTCGTAGTATTAATTCTTTTTCATTCAATTGTCTGTTTTCACAAATATGTAGAAGATTGATATGTATGTTCATATTTGTTGGGGATTAAAGATGGTGATTGCAGTGTTGAGATTTCATACAGTGATGACGGATTATATTTGAGGTTGTGTATGTGAATTTTGAGATTTAAGATGGTGAATTGCAAAGTTTCAAGTTTCAGATGGTGCAGTGATTTTAGAGTTTAAGATCTGAGATTGTGATTCCACAGTTTAAAATTTTAGATGGTCAGTTTTTGAATTTCAGAATTGAGATGGTGAATACTAGGTTTAAAATTTAAGATGCGATTCCAGAGTATAATATTTGAGATGGTGATTCCAGAGTTTAAAATTTTTGATGGTTCATTTTGGAAATTGAGGTGGCGGTTTTGAAGTTAACGATTACAGATTTTGAGATGATTGAGTTTAATATTTTGCATAGTGAGTACAGGAGATTTGAGATACTTTATTGTGGAGTTTTTTTACATTTTTGTTTGATTGGGATTCTCAAGTTTGAATTTTGAGATGACGATTGCAAAGTTTGAGATGGTGATTTCAGAGTATCAGATTTGAGATTAGTGACTGTAGAGTTCGAGATTTCTGATAGTGAATCTAGAATTTGCAATTGGGATGGTGAGGCAGAGTTTGTGATGTGTTATGGTGATGTCAGAGTTTGCGATATAAATTTTACATTTAGTGATTGAGATGGTGAATTTCTATTTGTCTTGCACTTATAGAATATGATCTATGTTGACTGTTAGCTAGTAATTTATTTTAATAAATGATGATAGTGCCTACTGATAATTTTAAAATTTTCAAACCTGGTCCTCAGCTTATCTTGGATGTCTAGGGCAACATAAATTTGTTGTAAAATTCAGGTTATACTGATTTTTTTTTTTTTTAATGAAATACTAGTAGGTTTGTTCATTTCATGTCATTGTATAACATTATAAAATTGGTTTATTTCATGTTAAAATCTAATACAAACATACTGCCGAACGTAGAATAATTAATACACAAACACAGTGGAAAGAAAGAAAGAAATTAAATCTTTACAAAACGATACAATTATCGCATTATTGGGGCAATTAGCAGAAATTCAGTCTTAAAGGTTAGTTTTCTGTGGTTTTCCTGAGGCTGTGTTGTCGGCTTAACTGTTTGGCTTACTTTCCCGTGACCCCTCTCCTCAGGAAGTAAGAGGAAGTACATGTCAGTGAAACCACATTAAAAGCTTGTATTTATAAGTTATGCGTGTTCGAGGAAACAAGGATGCTGTTTCAAAGGATTGGATAGGTAGGAGCACAAGTAAGGAAGTCTAACGAACTGACTTTAAATAAGGACTGTAAAGTTTGCCATTTTCAGAACCAAAATCACTTAAAAATTAACCATGTCGGCAGCCGCAGTAACAAGGTAGGGTTTGTGGACAATAATAATTGGATCATTGCCAATATCTTTCACTGTGAAACATAAATATTAATATATTTCAGTAATATTATAGTTAGATTTAAATATTCAGATTATTTGAAGAAAAAAATTTTCAACAGATATGTTTTTTAGTCACACTTGTCCTAATTATAATGTCTCTTGTTTCTCTTGAAAATCGTAGAATTGTTTTTGACATGGTGTTTTTATATGTAAATACATTTATGATTGTCCTCTTGTTTCTATGTTTAATTTAAATGTTCCCACTCCTCCTCGCAGTAAGTGTTTGCTCCACGTTCCATATAGTCATGTTGATTGCACAAAACAGAGTATTTTTCAACGATTACCCTACAAATTTACTAGTCTACTTGTTAATTGTTTAGATATCAATCTCTTTTATGATTGTTCAAATGATTTTTTAAAGTTAAATTTGTTAATCTATGTAATTTTTTTTTTTATTTATTGTAAATTTTTAACATTATTATTTAAATTATCACATATTTTATTATGTTTAGATTAGACATGTTAATTGCGGTTATAATTGCTGTTTTTTTCAAACTGAATAAAGTAAAAAAATTGGTGATTGTCGTGTAAAATTGAAATTTTTAAATAGATTGTTATACTTAATTTGATATACTATTATCTTGACATATTTGCACAAAAGAATACTGTATTTGCTTGAGGTTTGCAATCAGTTGTGTAGGGAGGGGCAGTGCAGCCAGTGAAAAGCACTGGGCCTGTTAGGGGCCCGGGGCTATTAAGGGCCCGTTCAATAATATTGGCACTTGGTTAACCTGGCAGTTATTTTTAACTGTGAGCCATCATCACCTAGCAATGCTCTTACTTGCAATGGAAGGAGACAAAAATGATTAAATTAAAAAATATATATATGCTATTATTTTTTTAACAATCAATTCTTAATTTGATAAAAACTATATCTCATTTTTTTTTTCTTTCGTATTTTCTTTTTAAAATCTGCTGTAATATATTTCCAGTGCTTTCTAATAGAGAAGTAGGACAGATGTTGAATAGCTTCCGTAATTAATTGAGATTTGTTTTCCCTTGCTAATCTCTGCTCATCTTCTAAAAGCAGAAATATATATAAAGAGATATACAACTCACAGGTGTAATGCACGATAGAGTAATTGGTTGCAGTCTCATCAAAAGTTACAGGTTAATTTCATTGAAAATAATTAATCCATTACATTTGTTCTCTTGTGATTCAAGCAATCAGTATCAACTTCATTATTTTAATGAAACATAGCTCTTGATCGTGTTATCTAAACCTTTTCGCCTTTGATTATTTTCAGGAATCTTCTCGTAGAATTAGACAGATTGAAAGAACTGCGGCAAGGAGAAAATGTAAGTCTCCATGGAGATGAATCCGATTCAAAGTCGCCAACCCGTGACACTGAGCTAATAGCTGAGGCAAAGTTGCTGCGGCAACACAAAGGTCGTCTCGAAGCGAGGATGCAAATTTTGGAGGATCATAATCGACAGTTAGAAGCGCAACTACAGAGGTTAAGACAATTACTTGAACAGGTAGGCTAATATTTTTTATACAAATACCATAATATAATGTTTTGCAATTATATATCATTTGAAAATTATAGGTTTTTTTATATCTACTCAAATTCAACTGAATAAGTATAACTGAATACAAAGTATTGTACAAACAGTGGTTAGACCCATTTATATAATAATAATAATAATAATTTTGGCTTATATAGCGCATTATGCTAAAGCCTCAATGCGCTTAACAGTAAAAATAAAATTCGGGGGGAAAAAAAATTAAGAAAAATACAAGTTAAAAAGGTGAGTTTTTAAAGCTGCCTTAAAATCATCAATGGAAGTTGCCAGGGATTATTTAGGAAGCTTGCGCAAAGTCCACCAAACCATAATAAAATATTATTTAAAATAGAAATTAATGTTGTTTTCCAAATTAATATGCATACCATTATGTATCTGAACTTAGTTAACACCTTAGGAAAGGACAAGAAAATTCTATAGATTTTAATATCAATAACAATTATTGTTAACCTTTAAAAATCTTTGTTCACAAAAACCAAGTACATGTTTGAGTTGCAAATGGATGTCACACAAATTGACATTAAATTTCCGTGTGACAAATATCATGTCATTGGTTAGTATCAGTCCCTTTAGGAAATCCAAGTTCAGCCAAATTATGTATAGATAGAAGAATTTCAATTGGATGTTCATACTGGCAAAAGACGTGTCTTGTGTTGCAATATGTTTCAAAATACATATTGTCGTTATATATTTGGGTTTCTGTCTATGAACCAACAAATCAAAAAAGACTTAAGCTGTCTGTAAATCCTTTAATTTGTATGAACTTAAAATCTATGACCATTACTTTTTTATGCTCATGCAACATTTGACTTGATAATGCTAAATTTTAGATATTTCGAATTTACATATTTTTTGAAATCCATGTTTGTGATTTTTAGTTAAGCCTACCTCAAATCCATCACATGTAAATTGTTTTTTATCACAAAGTTTGCCCTGTTGACTTTCTTTGTGGATAAATTTATAAATTCCAACAAGCACAGAGTAAAATTTTTTCCAATCATTACGTTAAAGTATTTTCAACTAAAAGTCTAGCTTGAAGTACTTTAGTTGCTTCAACGGTGGTTTCAGATTTAGATATTCTAAACTTTTAAAATAAAATTTTATGACCACTTGTTCTGATTAGAAAAATTTAAATAACCATAAATTTAAAAGTAGGATCATGGGATTTAAATTTGAGCAAACAAGAACAAGTCTCTTTATGATTTTTGGTGGCAAAAGTTCACAATAATGTTGAAAAACACTGTGTTGGAACGGTTTTAATAAAAAAACTGAAACAACAAAGAAACATATGCAAGATTATTGCATACAAATTCCCTTTTGTGGCCTATGCTGCTTTTACAAATTCATATTTAGTTTTCTAAAAGCAGTACATCAATTGAAATTATTTCTTTATTCACAATCTGGTATTCAGATAATGATAACAGAGATAATGATAATGATAACAGAGAGAATTTGATTGATTAGTTGCAAGTGATAGATTGCGTATCATTGCGTATTTCTACTTAACGCCACTAAAGAAGGGTCTCTTTTTGAAGTCGTTTTCTTCTTAGGTTAGTTATCATCTATTGGATTGTTATGCTTAAATACTGGGTTTGTTTTCATTACGTTCTGAATGTGGTTATCATTATAGCAACATTTATTGGTATCATTGTGCTGGTGTTAAATAAACAACTTCTATTTCATATGCGATAGTGATTTACAAATTTAAATGTTAAAAACTAAAACTAAAACTTGTGTTTGTTAAATAAAAGACAAAGTTATAAGTTCTTCTATTTCTGATGTGATAAGAATTTACAAATTTGAACACTTGAAAACTAAATCTTTATGCTGCAAAGGAATACACATAAGATTATTACATGAAAATCATAAGAAAACACCCACACGCTTTCGGTGTGACATTTGCCGCTTTTACAAATTCATGTCCGCTGTGTTTTGAAAGTATTAAATCAATTTAAATTAATTCTTTATTCATAATCTGGTATTCTGAAGCTTTTAAGAATAAGAGACTGTAAGTGATAACAGAGAGAATTTTACTTGATTGGTCGCATGTGATATGTTCTGTGTGATTGGCTGCGAGTTTCTACTTACGCAGCTAAGATGACTCGTTTTCTTGATAGGTTGATTACCATCTATTGGATTGTTATGCTTAAATTCTGGGTTTGTTTTCATTACGCTCTGAATGTTGTTATTACGACAACTGTTATTGATGTCATTGTGCTCGTGTTTTCGAAAGCATTCAATTTTGTCCACATGTATGCAGTCAATTGGTAATCTTGTAGTAATTTAATATGCTATGCCTCGTAGAATGTGTTGAAAGATTGAGCATAATTGCTAATACTATACAGACAATGCAATGCCAGCCAGTGATTTGGAAAAATATAAAAAGAAAACCTTCGACCCACCCCTCCACCTTCTCAAGCCAATAGGGTTATGGTGGTAACCTAATAAACTTTAAAACCACATAACGAAGCATGGTGTTATATTAAGGTTTTAACTTATTATCTAAATTTTATATTTTGCACATGATGTATTTTTAATAGTTATTGAAAGAATTGATAATAATAATGCAAAACAATAGCTGTTGTCCAAGCCCAACTGACCAAAAACTTTAAAATCCAGGGCAAAGCTTATTTTGGCAAAAATGCTACGGTACATTCTTTTGACAAGGAGGAGCTAAAGTGCTAGTATGATATTTGAAAAGGTCATGAATTTCACTCCTGAAATGTATGGGGGGAGTGATATTTGTAATAAACTGTAAATTTCAGACTTTCATATAGTAGAAAAAAATAAGCTTGACTAATCAATCCTGATTTGTAAATGTCACTGTATTATGGGCAACACAGTCAGAACATAGGACAGAAACCACCTCAGATTTGGGTTTGCTTTTTTTTTTTTTCTTCTTTTAAAAATTGACTCACAAACAAAATATATGACTCATAATGGTAAATGCAAAAATACAGTAAATTCTTTTGACAAAGAGGAGCTATGATGCCATGATGCTTGAAAAGGCAATAGACTTTATACCTGTGGTTAACATGATTTTAAACCTTCCGATAGAGGAAAAAAAAAACTTGACTAATTAATCGTGATTTTAGAATGTCACTGTATTTGGCAACACAATCTTTATCTGTTTTTGGCCGTATAATAGTGATGATAAAGATTATTCTCTACAAAATAACATAGAACCAACCTTAGGGGGTTTTTTTTTCTTCTTTCTTTTAAAAAGTGACTCACATACACTATACAGTATGACTCATAATGTATAGGACGCTATAAAGAAAAGAATTATGATTACGAGCCTACGCTTATTGAATCATTCTGAGAAACAAAATATTAAAAAATCTTTTGAACTATGAGAATTAACGTAATATTTTTGATTCATGTAAAATTGCAACATATTGCAGTCCTGTAGATGAGTAATATGTATTTTAATGTTTAAATTTATTATTTATATTAATGTACAAATGCAACCTGAGGCAACGTTAATTTTTGCCAAAGGTTTGGTAGATTAGGTAATTAGGTTTAATTAGGTACCAGTAATCCAACCTCCATATTAATGAGGTAAATCTTATTACAAGATTTTATATCAATTAATGTTGTAAGTTAATTGTAGTAATCATCTATTATTCTCACAGTTATGAGTCATCCCAGCAAACAGAACATATTTTATTTATTTCTTTTTTACCATGTGTTACAACTCAGTTGAAACTAACTGTTATTCTTATGTGCCTAGAATAGGGTATACAAACATATAATCCTTAACTACATTTGTTAAAAATAATAATTATTATAATAGAATAAAGTCATAAATAAGCCTATAATTAGTTAGCAAGTTTATATACTTCCGATTATTGAATAAAAAAAGACCAATCCATCGCTTCTAGGATGATAGAAATTTTATATAAAGACAATTTTTAATTGTTTATTGCTTGTGCTTGCACAGTGTCAAGTTTCAATTTGTTGTGGCTATGAATTATGTTTTAACTTACTGGCTTCATAAATATGAGATACTTTTATCACTTTTTACTACTTTTTATATTGGGTCTCAACCTACGTCAGCTTACACAGAGTTGACGTTATAAGAATATAAAGTACAGTAAGGTTCATATTAGTGTATGGGGACTCTGCCCTTGCAGTAGACTTACTGATTTAAATCCTGATATGTTTTGCTTGCTATTGTGTTAGGAGATCTGTGTCCAGCATTCTCAGCTTCAAAGTGTTCTGTGAAGGTGTATCCAGGACTTGTTCAGCATTAATTTTAGTATATTCTACGTGGATGAATTTTGAGTAGTTATTAGCCTTGGGTAGTTTCTACCCCTGTGAAAACATGATATTTATGACCATTCAATAATTTAACAAATGTAAAATGTGGTAGTGAGACTAAACAGCGTTGTATGCGTTATCGCCGCAAATTGGTCGAATCGGTTTGTAATGTTATGGGTTGGATGCTGGCAGGTCATTAACAGTGCAGATGTGTTAAAATAACATGCTAATCAATACAAAGGTATTGATGGTCTACACAAACTTACACTTTCAAGCACTTGTGAATATTTTATACGGTTGATGAGGCATCACATTGAACCTCATTAATTCTTCTCTCAAAATTGTAATTATAAATCAGGAAAGTTTTTGATGACAACTGGCCTAGACTTTCAAAAATATACCTGATTAATGTTGATCTTTTTCTTTGAGGATATTAACCTGTTTTTCATGAATAGCCACAATTTTAAAATTTCCATTTTTACTTGTAATTCTCAACATTCTTCTTACCTTGCTTGAACGTTTTCATTTTATTGTGGCTATTGCTTTTTCGTTTTCATTAATTGGATATGTTACAGCCATTATCCTTTCGTAGTATATTTGACTAGGATAATTTAGTAACACATAATTTAATATTAAATGAATAATTCAACTTCTCACCTAGTACAAGAATGCTGAGAGTCATCCATTTAAAAAATATTGACTAAGCTTATGCTTTTGTTAAACCTTCTGCTAAATTGTACTGTGCTTTTCATCCATTGCTTTTTCCTAGTACTTTTCACTAGGAGGATAGTAATAGGTAATTTAATATTAGATGGAATAATTCAATTTCTCACTTGTACAAGTATGTTGATAGTCATCCATTTAAAATAATGTTGACTAAGCTTAAACATTTGTTAAACCTTCTTATAAATTGTGTATAAAACCTATTTACTTTTTCAATATACACTACTTATTAATTGTCAGAATCTAAATGTAAATTAGTCCCATATAATGAACATTGACAGACTGGCATTTATTTATTTAATTACATGTATTTGGTATCCTATTGACAACAAAAATGAAAAAAATAATTAAGTAATAGCACTGGCTGAATTACAGTTTAAACTTAAAGAACTAAATACAGTATATTAAATTAATATTTTTTATTTATTTGTTTATTTTGTTCATTAAAAACAAATCAGGATGTTTTTATTTTCAGCAAGCATTAACAGATAAATGCAGGCTGAACATCAGCTTGAAAGAGTATTAAATCTTGTTATACTTTCCATATTGTCACATCTAAATTCTGGAAGATAAATCATTTAATTGTAGAAAAGTTGATATATGCATGTTTCCCTTAATAAATGCCTACTTTATTCCCTTTTACCTAATTGCACATTACTTACTGCATAACACAGTCGCATTGTGACAAACTATCAATATGAGATGTGCATTGAGATTTAATCTATTTTCCCATCATTCCACCTGTATTTATAAAGTCTCTGAATTACCGTTTTGCCATCAGAAATCGTAGCTCTAGTATGCACGGCATGCAATCATAGCAAGTTTACTTGCAAGTTGCCTTGTTTACCACTTAACGCGATGTAGTGCTAGATGAATAGCCCCGGGTTATGTTAATGCATTGCGCGTGAGTGGTTGTTGAGGGAATGACGACATCAGGTTCGTTTGCCATGCAGGTCAGACTTCTCGCTATATACGCCGATGGTGTTGTAATTTTTATAGCTTGGTTGTCTTGTTTCTGTAGGAGATCACTTGTTCCATTAAAGTTGCATAGCATTTTGCCTTCCTTATATGATTCAAGGATATTTTAACTGTGCTTTATCTGATTCCACACCCAGCTGGTATAAGTATTATTTTTTCTTGACTTTTTTACTCATTTTCTTACCAGGGGTCAATTTTTTATACATTTATAATATTGGATTTCTTTGATTATTATTCTTATCTCCAAATTTCTGTTTTCAAATCTCATCTTTAGATTTCTTCCTTTCAGCATCAGTATTAATATTGTGTTATTATTGTCTTCTCTTACATTTTTTTAGTGTTTCTGCTCTGTGTACATAGAAATTAAGTTTATTAGTTGATCAATTATTTTGAGTAATTAATTGATTGATTTGTTGATTAACTAGGTAAGAACTGTTCATTGGTAATTGCCTACAATTGCCTACATACCATGTAGGCAATTGAAGGCAATAGTGCAATGAAGACTAGAAACTCTCTAACATCAATGGAAACATTTTTGTCTATGTCTGAAAATATCAGTGCACTCCAAGCAAAACTTTCAGATGAGAAGGTGGTCTCATCAAAGCAATTTGAAGTTTGATACCTTGAAGTATTTATAATAATCCACAAATGTTTCAATGATGTGTGATATTTGTAGTGTATTCAACTTACTTCTTGTTAGTATTATGTAGGGGAAAAAACCTGAAAATTAAATTAAAATATTTAATTGCTGATTGAAAAGAATCAAAGTTTTCTCTTTCAATGAGGCCAGATGAACAAGTTTTCCAGTTTTACAAAAAACAGATACAATATAAAATTTTGCTTTAAAGATGAAACATATTTAATGTTATAAATCAAGCATCATGTAGATGTCTGGTTTTAAACGTTTTTTTGATGATTCAATTAAATTTACTTTTTAAAAGTTCAAATTTTAAATTTTAAAATATTGTTACTGTCATGTGAACATTCTTGAACTGATTGTCAGTCAATTTAAGGATCTATAGTACAAAGAATTCAAGAAATATTTATGCTTACTGCTAAGTGTCAAGCAAACGTTCTAATTTATAATTTAAACATAATAACTTAAATATACAAAGTCAAATAATATTGAATATTATTACAAAAAAAAAATTGTTATTGTAATATCAGTCACTGGCTTTTGTTAATCAGTTTTTTAATTTTCTACTTCTTTTTTTTTTAATTTTGTAACTTATAATTCAGAAATAATAATACCGATAATGCAATTAAATGGTAATAACTTTCATTTTATTATAGCTATTCTATGTTCCGTCAAATAAATGAAAATAATACATACATATATCTATAATATCTGCTTAAACCATTTCATTCTTTATTTTAAATTTAGCTACCAATAAATTTACATAAATAACCATAAATTTACATAACCAGATATTATACCATGTTTGATAAAGAAAATAATACAAAGAAAATATACATTTGCATCATATTCACATGTTTAAATTATTTCCAAGCAAGAGAGAAAGAGATATTCAAATCAAAATAAATGTAATCATAGTAATTAATATATTAATTACTATGATTACATTTATTTTGATTTGAATATCTCTTTCTCTCTTGCTTGGAAATAATTTAAACATGTGAATATGATGCAAATGTATATTTTCTTTGTTTTCATATTATGAAGAATGCAATCCCAGTGAAAGCAAAATACTTTCCCTGTTGGATTCCTGTACCATAAAAGTTAACAAAATACAGCAAATGACTGGAAATATAAACTAATTTTTTAAAAAAAAGTAAAAAATAAAAAACATTAAGTGAAGAGATTGAAAACTCATTTTGTTTACGTAGCATAATTTGACAGTCTCTATGAGTCACTGAAATTAATAGCACAAGTTATGATTAAAAGTAACCTAAGAAAAATGTCAATATGAACAATTACTTGATAATATTGCTTAGGTTTAATAGATGAAGTCAATCTTAGAACATTTTTTCAATACATTTTCAGTGTATCAGATGTCATCTTAATGTCAAGATTTGCACAAATACGAAATGTGAAAATGATTTGCCATCCTTTAGTTGGCCCACCCTTTTAATACCAACAATACATTAAAGAATGGAGAGTTTATGTAATGCTAGCATCGTTGAAGATGAGTTCTTATTGTATATAGTTAATTTTATGATTCATTACACTCTGAATTATTTAGTAAAATAGTAACATATAGATCCATTATTTTTCAATTTAACAGAAAACCAGAAATTCATACAATTTATTCAGTAATAGTGACCTTTGTTACTACAGGTACATTGCTAAATTTGCATACATAATTTTTTTTAAATCTAATGATTTTTCGTAGACGCGACGTCCCATATTATTTTTAAAAAAAAGGTTTAATTATAATTTTATACGGCTCGTCTTCAAATATTCATGGATATGTTCATATTCATGTACATCCTATTCCGTGCTCTACATTGTACTACATAGTTTAAGTCCCTCATTAGCCAATATTGGCTGGCCTTTGTACAGGGGTGAGATGTTAATAAAAACAAACTACTACTACAAAAAATAAATCCCTTCTTGAATTAATTATGTAATATTTTTTTTGTTTTATATTTTAATCTATTCCATCAGTCATTTAATAATTGGCAGGTAAGGTTGAATTCTTTGAACACTTTAAATTTTTACCTCAATTCTTAGTAAATGTTTTTTTTTTTAATTGTTTTCAGTTGAATTTTTGTAAGTTTACTCCTATCTCAATTTTATATATCTCACATTTTTCCTTTTAAGTATCGTCATTACACACTTCATCCAAACAAGTATAGTAATAATGACCTGCATATTCCATTCAGAGGTACATACTTGTCTCAATTTACCGAAAGGTCCACTGATTAATCTCAGATAAGAAAGTATAATACATACTCCAAGTATTGAAATACACGCCATCGTGTCTCAATTTACTTTCAATAATGCACTCTACTCACCGCTCTGTACACCCTCCCATAGAGAAGTAGGCAATGCAGACAGCACTGCACATTCCCACCTTTCACTGTATGTTCATTACTGTTCAATAAATGTTTACAGGTATTTCCGACTGGTTTTCTTAAGTTTGTATGATACAGTACACCTTATAGTAATACTGTGTTGAATATTAACGTTGTTCAATTTGTTCTCGTTCATTATTACATCTAAATGTATCCAATTATTTTTGAGTTGTTCATGTTAGTTGATTGTGTTTGGTTACAATATATTTAGCTATTTCATCAAGTATTTTCTGCATTTACACATATATTGTTACTGTAGCTGTGAAATGTTTAAAATGTATACATGTGTCCATATTCAAAGAAAAATTATTTTGAGTTGTTCTAGAATCAAATTCTGCCATAATTCATCTTGAAGGCTACAATGAATACAGATAAATTGATGCGATTATTAGTCAGCGATAAAGCTAGAACTCGAGCCAATTTTATAAACGTTGAATCAAGAACAGATAATCCACCAGTGGTAAACATCATATTTCAAGTCAAAAAAGCAAAATTAAAAAATAGTCACGAACTGACGTGATTTTTACGTTGATTCAGTAGATGGTCATGCATAACGACAAAAACTAGAGGCATTTGACTAATTGCCTGTTTGCTGTATATAAATAAATTTCTTTTGCATTGACTGATTGGTTTGAGCGAGTAGCTTGCTTCCCTAAATACAATTGGGCATTAATGCACATTCTTTCAGTAATGCTTTTGTTGTTGGTATAAGTGGTGAAGCAACTCTAATTTTTTTGTTTTTTAATGTTCGTAATAAAACTTAACTCTAAATATCAAATTGTTATTCAATTTAACATCAGTCTTCACTAAGCAAGATACTGTTACTATAAATTGGCTTTCAGAAATTACAGATAAGTTTCATGCACATTTTTTTCTCTTGCACACGGTTTTCTAGCTTACAAATAAAAGTCGTTTAGAACCATTCGTCGTGGATATGGCGACAGAATGTTTCGAACTTCAAGACGGTAAAATTGCATTTAATCTGAGGAAGTAAATTCAATCAATACACTTTCTCTTGCTTGCAGTCTAGAAAGGGTTTTCATTAAAATGTGCAGATCATTTGTTATCTTCAATATAAAGGTAAATGTAGGCATACATATACTAGACCTACCTACTGTAAATCTAACAAGAACTTGGAAATTAAAACAAAATGTGTTGCATGTTTTGTTTGTTTCAATATGTCACTAGCTAGACTTCAACTGCAATTATAAGAGAAAAATGTTTCATTTTCTTGGCTAATTCATTAAATTCTAATATGCATATCTTATTCTTATACTATAATTCCATGTTTGAAATGTTAATTTGAAACTATATGTAAATCCACTCTCAAATTCAGTGTAATTTTCTTGTTAAGAACGTTTAAGAAAAAAAACAAATGGAATGTTTAATGATAAATGTCGACAAACATTACCTGTTGTGAGGGAATATCATCAGACTGTTGCTAATGCTGTGCCTTCCATTATGTCTGTATACAACTGTTTACAGTTCTTCTCTGTCATGACGTCTGCATTTGCATACATACAAAGGTTTAGAATAGTAAGTGTCCTAACACATTACCAGTTTATATATGCATACTTGACTTCCATTCGCAAGAGTTTTACCATTTAAGTTTTAAATTGCTGACTGTGGCTGTTATAGAAAATGCAATGGTTACAATATTTTAATAGTATATTATTGTACAGGGATGTAAATGATGCAGATGAGTTTTGAATATAAACTTTATTGATGTAGTTTTTTAATGTAAGGAAATATCTTATATTATATTAATAATTTACAGTAGAACTTCTCCAAAAAAGAATGTTCCAATTAAAGTTGTCATTCTAGCTTGACATTTTGTGTCCACTCTGAATTTCTTTATTTGCAATTTGTATTCCATTCAAAAATAAACAACTGTGAAAACACTGGCACAAAAGCTAAGGTATTTACTGTATGTAATCCCTTTCTGAAAAAAGTGTGATGATCCATGCCAAGAGAAACATTAAGTCTTTACACTGACAGTAAACCAATTGTGTGGATGGTTTTTGATGCATGGAAAGTGTCACAGAGAATTTAACGTCCAGGCGTAATTTGATAAGTTACATAGAAGTGGGAATCAAGATATAAAGAGTAGAGCTGCCTCTTGATTGTTAAGATGCCTCGCTTTCCAGTGCAAGGGTATGTGTTCAAATCCTTTCACTGCAGAGTTTTTTTTCTCACAACCAAAAGACAGCTCCACTCCCTAAGTCATGCTGTTGAATGTGAACAAACAATTAAAAAATAATGATAATAAAAAAATAAAATTCTCAGGGAAGTTTTGTTTAATACTGAAAAAATAAGCTTTTATGTTTAACTAATATTACCCTAATTTCATTTTTTTCCTGAGGGCTTTAAAATATAATGTATGTTTTTCCTGAGCTTGTAATATTAAGTAAATTTAGAAAGTATCTGGAAAAAATTCATTTCATTGCAGTTTAAAGTATCCATTGCAAAGATGGCTTTCATTATTCAAGGTAGCTTGTATTATACATTACTATCACACAAAAAAACATGCTTGTGAGAGTGATTCATTTACTGAATATGACAGAACATTCGTGTAGATCTGTATAAAATTCTAAATGAACTGAATATTTGTGTTTAAGCATTTAATGAATTTCATTTCAAGTTTCATTTTCTACTGCATGTTGTCATATCGTGTTGCTTCTACCTTTGACACTTGTTTCCGTATTACCCCATATTTTTTAAGTTTAGTTGTGTTTTCATATCAGGAATTTTAATATCAAAGATAAGTTTTCACCACTATTAGATGGAAAAGGTATGGAAATGAACCAGAGGGTCCAGATAATTTATTTTTCCAAATAATACAAAGTGGTTCTTTAATGTGCACTCGTGCTATTGCAGTTGTGTACACTGGAGCTCTGATTTTAAGTTCTTACCCTAGACTTGGTCCTACCAAGCTTAACCCTGAATAAGGAATGTCTTGAACCAGCGCCAATGTTAAGACTGTACAGTTTGCAGCACCAATAGCTTAACGCTAGGCTAATTGACTCGCCCATACTTCGCATTGCTAGTCAAAATGATCCATATATATGATACATTATGATATATCAGTATGGTTAATTGTTCTCCACAGCCACAAGATAGGACATACTCACAAGGTTCCTCATCTCGCACCTCACCAGCCATCTCACCCACATCGTCAGTCGGATCACTCTCAAGGTCAAAACGTTCTCTCCAGCCAGCTATCATCGAACCCGCTAAAATGAATGGAGGTCATACACCGAGTGACATTGACAGCGATACTACAGGTAATTTTTCTTTACGGTTGATCTTCATAAATTTAATTTCTTCATTTCATTTATTTCTAAAAAAACTTACAAAGGAGAAGAATACAGGAAGGACAAGACAATACACTGGTCGGTGGCAGGATAAACCAAAAGCAAACTTAATTGTTGTGGACAGTGTTTTCCTCCAGAGTGCAAAAGTAACATTCAAAACATTAAATATAAAATTACATGGTATATATACTGTCTCTTATACACATCTAGATGTGTATAAGAGACAGGTACACCTTATAGTAATACTGTGTTGAATATTAACGTTGTTCAATTTGTTCTCGTTCATTATTACATTTTTTTTTTTTTTTTTTTTTAAATAGATATAAAAGCATGAAACAATACAAAAGGAATGAAATCTTAAAACAAAATCACAGATCACAAAGCAAAAGAAAAAGTTGCAACATTAGTCAGTTGGGACTTTATTCTGTGATATTTATTCTGTGTGTAATTCACTGTATGATGGATAATACTCTGTTCATTACTTTTCTTATTAAGAAGATAATTGCTGCTTCCAAGCTTTTATTGTCACAAAAATATATTTAACAAAAAATCGTTTAAGGATTAAATAGATTTTTCATAGCAACAAGATAATTATCGGATAGTTTATAGGTTATTATGATATCAATATTAGTTGCAGAAATGTCCAGTACAGCCTATAAAGTGGCAATGATTATTACCATTCGGAAATGGATACAAAACTGAAACCTTTCAATTGAACAATTCATTTTATTAATTGAATGCTGGAGAGTTTTCATAAAATATATTCAAGTTTTTCATAGTTTACCCCGGTCAGTATCTTGAAACTTTGCATTATGGCCCATGTGCACGTTGAAGAACGCAGTACACTCTTCGGAAAAGAGTAGGGGATTGTCTCCCGGTGTACTGCCCAATCACCACCAGAAGGACCCCACTGGAAATAAGTCTTCTACTAGCCTTATGTGGGCTATCCTTGGTGTTTACACCGAATAAATTCAATCCAATCCAAACTCTAATGTGCCTCCTTTTGACTGTAGGTGAGGAATTCGGATCATTGTCTCCACGATCACTACACCATTTCAAAGATGATTCAAAAGATGTCTCCCCAAAGAAACCAGTAAAACAGTCGACAAAAGCGAGGAAAGTAGACTTGGATGAAGTTATCCGAGAGCTCAACAATTTTCCAGATGAAAAGTCAAAAGTTTCAGGTAAAGTTTTTTTATGATGGTTCATCATTTGTTTCGGCCTGATTCAACTGCATGTAAATCATCAGCTATAGAACGTTATACTCTCTATACTAATTGTGACATAGGAAATCGTAAAAGAAAAGGAACTAATAACCCTGAGATTAAAGGCAACCACCAGCACTTGAACAATTGTTTTTGTAAAACAACAAGTTTACTCTAAAGTTGATTATTGCAAAGATTAGATTATAAGGTTAATTGCACTCTATTCTTCAACTTATTATTAAACTTCTTATATTCAACTTATTATTAGTAACTGTTATTTACCTGAAGATATTTTGTTGATGATTTGAGAACATTTGTATTACAGTACAAGTTTTAAAGTATGGTTGAGACAGCTATGTAATCTACTAGTAAACAAATGTATCTTTTGATCATTAGTAATTTTTAAGTCTTCGATTAATTTCATTAAGTTTTTGATTGTTGTAAAACCAAGTAAGCATACGTATTGTTATGAGGGTGCCTACTGGTGCTCTTATATGTATGACCAAATCCTACCTCCGGAAAAACCGGGGCCCACAGACCTCTGGTCAGGACAGCTGGCAGAGGGCAGTATTCAAGTTTGGATTGCATCCCTAACAACATCTATCCAGCTTCGTTTTTCTTAAAGAATATCTAACCACTTACAGTGAAAAGAAATGTAGCAAGTATGTATACTTACTTGGTTTTATTCTAGAAACATTACGATTGCTTTTTAATATTTGACCTTTAGTAATTCATTTTTTTTTATTTACCTTTCAGGTTCAAGTAGTGTCGGGGATCTGTTCCACATGGCGGATAATATTGGTAAAGCCGTTGGTACGCTGGTCACAGTGATGACCGATGAAGAAGCCAATATTACCGACATTGACCATCAAGAAAACTAGGGAACAAAAAGAAGAAAATTATCAATTTCTCATTGAATAACATTTATGTCAATATTTTGACCTTTGAAAAGTTTTCTTTCAAATGTGTCACATTTAAAAATCATTACTTAATCAGATACCAAAGTATTCATTAATTACTTAATTAACTATGTTTTTATTTTATTGTTGGAGCAATTATGATTTGAAAATGAGAAAGTCCATTATTTTGTTTGTAATTATTTAACTTATAAAAATAGTTTTTAGGAAAGGCATAGCAACAGTATTAAAAAGAAATGTTGATTATATTTTGTGCTTAATGCATTTTATTGCATTGATGTTATGACAATGTATATAACAAAATTGCTTCCCTCTGATAGACAAAAGGATCTAAAGTATCACCATAGAAACTTAATATTGATCAACATTCCTTAAAGTACTTTGATAAATATTTGTTTAAATAATGCATTGACCAATCAGGATTCAAACGCAACACCCTCTATACTTTACCAACTATATGGCCATGGATTTTTTTTTTCTGATGACCAGAACATTAAAAGTTTGACGGCCAATAATCCCAACTTAATATAAGATAGGTATTTTTAATTTTATCCATTTGTAACATGTTGATTTATTTTCTTTCTATATTACTTTGCTTTGAATAATATAAAATATTTAAGTATTGCATACCTGAATTTTTATTGGAAAAAATGATAGTACCAATGTTTTGTATTTTCCCATAGTGATTTTCTTGAATTTCAATTGCGAGAATAAAGGTATCAAAAATTCTGCATGATTTTGTTATTTATGAACTTTAGCTGAATTTGTTGGGAATACCTGTAGCTTATAGTTTGGGATTTGAAATACTAAGTGAACTACCTAACTGCAATTATAGGATAGCATCTAAAGGTATATAAAATTGCTTTAAGAGACTTCAAAATTATTTGCTATTATATTTTTTAATTTGCATGTTGCGTAGTAATTATTACTGTTATTTAGTTTATAAATACATTATTTATGTTAAGTTTAATACACCTTTATAATTAAATATATAACAATTAAAGCATTTATTAATTGATGCAATTGTATTATATTATCCTCAGTTGGATATTGCAGAAATATTTTTTTTATATGTATAATATTCACAGTTATTTACAATTGTGCCTCATTTTCCCTGTTGTGTATACCGATGCTATTTAGCATTTTAATACATTATTTATACATATACTAAGCACCCAGATAATGTGTTGTTTTTTTTTTTATTTATTTACTTTTACAATTACACTGATTATCATTAATCAATGTCATACATATAACATATCTTTACTGATTATTTTAAAATTTATTGATTATATACAGATATCTATTGGTTTTGAAATTGATGTTAATTATCAATAATAGATATCAACTGAGTATCAATAATAGATATCGATAATCAATAATATGTCTATTGATTATCACATTTATGATAGATTTTCTGAAGTAGGTATCAATTTCTTATTGATTTGATATCAATTTTAACAATCAAGTAGTAAATATCAGTTGATTATCATATATTGTGTGTGATAACATATTGATTATAATAATATATTTATTATTGGTAATAGATATTGGTTATTTGCTATCAATTGATTACCAATAATAAACTTTTAGTATACTATGTATTCTTTGTAATAATAATATACAGTTATATAGATAACAAATTGCTAATGAGTTAATACAGATTCAATTATTGCATAGTCTTCCAAATAGATTCCCAGTACCACACTGTATCCATTAAAAAGATTTTGTTGTTGCAAAAACAAATATGTTTATTTTGTTTCTGGAAAAAAAAAATCCAATTTATATTACATTTTTGCAAATATATTTTTTTTTTTTGAAGTATAATTGTGTGTTGCTGATAATTTTTTTCAGACGAATTGAAGATTAAGAAAAGAAAAAAAAAACTTTTGATTTGAAAGATTTGGATGAAGATCGATTTTGGATCATTTCTGTGTCTGATCACTGCTGTGATCATCATAATGGTTCTTGGTGGTCAGATAACCTGTGCCATGTTAGGCTTCATGTTGGTGCACGTTGGTCTGTTCTCTTGTGCCTTGCCTGACCATGGTAGTGCATGGTGGATGATGGTACATGATGGTCTGATCACTGCAGTACCAAGTTAGCCAACAATGTGGTACATACTGGACTGGTCACTTGTGCCGTGTTTAACCACTGTGGTGCATCGCGGCCTGATCACTCCTGTTCTAGTGATGTAAAGTTTGGTAGATTTGAAGATCGATTCTCCATATGTATAGAAATATCGCCATTGTACCTAGCCTCATTTTCTATGTACTGTATAATTAAATATGTAGGTTTTAAGAAATGGAAAGGATGTTGAGCCTACTTCATTTCACGTAGTGTCGTTTTTCTTGAACTATTTGGTGGAGCCATGGTACGATTATATCTAGTGATGTGAATGTTGGTGATGGTGTAATATTTGGTAATGTAGTTGATAGCAGAATAGATACTGAATGGTGGTGATGGAATTAGTGGTAGCAATGAAATAGTATCATTGGTGTTAGTGTTGGTGGAGTTGATGATGATAACGTCGACGATGATTAGTGATAATAACGCATCTTCAAATCAGCAACAACCTGACCACATAAATGGTGTTCACTGGCGATTTGAATACCGCGGGTAATTTGTCGTAGTGACGATTCGTAACGTTTTGGCATAATAACATTATTTGTCATCATTATCAATTTATATGGTCATCTCTTGTCATAATTATCATTACTACGATCAATTATACCATCGTAATTACCATCAGTCAATCAACCAATCGTTCCATTTATTCAAGTTCAAGTACATTTTATTGGTCATATACAGTAATGAAGAATACAATACATGAAATTTGCTTCCAGGTCAATTAATAAAAATACTAATACAGTATGCTAAAAATAAGATACAAAACACACAGCCCCCCCCCCCCCACAAATGTCCACATTTTCCAGAGTAGAAAATTAAAAAATCACTCCCTCCACAGTGGCGGATCCAGACATTTTTTTGCCCAATAGGTAGTCCACAAATTTTCAGATTAGACCCTCTAGACGCTTGGAAATCGCACTCTCAAATGGTAAGAATGCTTTTAAAAGCAGTTTTCCTCGACAAAATTGTTGACTAATTCCCGACTGTAGCTATGCTCGCACTCCCTTAGACACCCCTTCCCTCACGGGCGTCGCAAAGGTCTAATCTTATATTCTATATTGGGAGTCGCAAATTGCAGTACTGTATGATTATGGCACATCTAGATGCCCCGAAATAGCACTCATTCAGAATTTAAATATTTTATCTCTATTGAAAAAAAAAATGTAGGGAGGTCCTAGGTAGCTGGGCACCCCACTCCCACTGAATTAATATGTTATATGTCCTACAGTCTATGTCACAGTATGCTACTATGTATCAACAAAGCCCTTTTGGATCAGGGTACTGTAGAGCGAGGTCCCTATGGGTAGGGGCACCGATGGGGCCCCTAAGGGTTCGGTGGCCCTGCGGACCGCCGTACGAGAGCGCCACTGAGCATGCAAAGCTGTTCTATTTTTCGGCGGGACTGAAGGGAGGAGGTGTGGGGACGGGCCCGCGTGGCTTCCCCCAATCTGTGCAAGTTCTTTCCTTTCCCCCTCTCATTCATGCGCTTCTTAAAAATACAGTAGTACAATAATAATGGTAGACTTATATAGCACATATTAAGCCCTCTATACGCTTCACCTTATCATTACCCCGGAACACAACTCAAGCTGCCTGGGGGAGTATTCCATAACGTTGCAGCAACTACATCAGTTGATTTTGCCATTTAACCCTACCAAGGACACAAGATGCACAGCGATGGATTGAAACCCCAACCACTTCCACAATTCTCGATTCTCGAAATTAACCCATTGGGCATCTATTTCTTGAGGTCTTACGTTGTATAGTAGATTAACAAATTCATTTGGATCTGTGTCGCTTGGAAAAGTCCAGTTTCTTGGAATTACAAATAGCTTTTTTCATACTATCCCATGCCCTATCTTCGGGCCACCACTCTTTATTTTTCCTAAAATTTTCCCCGTAATTGCGTTTGCTTGCTCTTAATCAGTTTGTTTATTTTCTTTGAAAGCAGTTTGTTTAAGTTTGAGAAGAGATTTAATCTCTTTTGTCACCCAAGGCTTAATTTGGAAAATCCTTGAATAACTTTTCTGTAACAATAGATGATAATTTACATAGTTACTTATAGCATCTGTAGCCTCATCGCAAAGAGTTGAAAATATTCCAGTTCGTGGTTTCAAGGTAGAACCTTAGTTTCAGTTCTACCATTCGTGCAAGCACTATTTTTCCTCGTCTCTGGTTTAGCTTCTTTTTTTTTTCTTTTTGCCTGTAGCATGGAACTAAATGTATCATATCGTTGATCTGATTGACCATAGGATAGGCTTTCTGAATTGTAGTCCAGAAAAGCACCTTTGATATTACAAGTATATGGCGCCATTCCATCAGTCATTGCTCGTGGTGCCGTTCAAAAGGAGATTTTAGAAAAAAAAAGTGCCTATTGAGTAGCGACTAGTAACTGTAACGTGAAGGTCAGTGTGAATTCATCATCATCTCCTATTATTGTTAATTAGAAATTTGTATAGGTACTTTCATGTATCAATATTTTTTGTGTAAATTGATATGCCTAGTTGCATATGGTTACATTTTTATTTGCAATTTCAAGTCTTGAAGCAAAACAACGAATATGTATTAATTGCTACTTACCCGTCTGCCAGAATAGTGTTAGGTTCGGGGGTTTACCCCCTATATTAAGATAAATAAAATAATGGATTAATCTATTAGACCTCGGTGGAATAATGAATCTTTTAATGGATCAGTGACAGCACCTCAGAACCACGGCGGTGGGAGGTACCGGGGCCCGTCGCACCTGCTCTCCAGTCACAAATCATCCCACCAAAAAAAAAAAAACACTTTTTATTTCGTTGGGCATAAGTTATAAGACGTCTCTTATCATGTTTTTTTT